CATGTTTTAAAAAAGGCAGAAAACATTTAGTGTTTACTTAACAATCAATAGGAACCATACTCTGTTTTAGGATGTGTGCACTCTGCTGTGGAGTAAAAATATTTATCAGGTGAAAAGGTTAAAGTGTGGGATTAGAGGAATCCTGCAGCACAAGATGTTGCTCAAACATCCCTTAACGTTTTTTTCTGAGGTGAAACGATCAGTAAAAACATCACTGACTTGAGCAGCTCTGAGATTCGCTTTGAATGTTTTTGGCTCATGTGCAACAATGTTTTGCACGTCAATATAACAGCCTGTTGCTGCCTCGTTGGTTGCAGTTCAGATTTACAGAGATTAAACTCCTGAACGTCACAGTCATGCAGCTGCACTGGATCAGGGCTACAGTTAGGGGATGAGGGTGATCCAAGATAAAGTTTTACTCTGGTGTTTTAACAAATAATAAAGGGGTAGCCTTTCAGTTCAGTTTTCATTTAAGAGAAAAGCTGAAAAGTGACCAAAAACATGGGAATGTTGGGGGCCGGGCATGCACCAAATAACTCCAAAATCACAAGTAGAACAAGCAACCAATCCAGCCAGGACTGAAGCAGCACCCTATGCCCTCTCAGATAAGGAGATTTCTTCATTACAGTTAAATAGGATACAGACAGCAGCAGATTAGCTCGTGACACCAACTTGGGGGGAAAAAAAAATTTAATGAAATGGATAATTAAAACCAGCCTGACTGTGTTCAAAGGTAGCAAATCCTGCATGCATCTCTACAGACCTTGACTGCACAACACGGTGAAGTGCAGTAATAAGTCCCTAACTTCAGTCTAGACAAGATTAAATCAAGCAAATCACGATGATATCAGACTGTTTTTTTGATTTACTTTAATGGTCCCCTATTATGAAAAATCCGCTTTCGGATTGTTTTCCACCAATAATAGGCATCCCTTTGAAGCCCCCCTCCCCCCATGAAAAAAATGTCATTCTCTCCTTCTCTTGCTTTCCCCTGCTCTCTGAAAACATGAGCACAAACGGGCGGATGGAAAAACTGTGCGGTTATGACGACATAACCACATAAGCCTCTCCTATATGTTGGTGTAGCGTCCGCCATTTTTCCCCTCGCATACATCGCTACAGCAACCACGTTGAAGCTACTCTTGGCTGCACAAACGAAGACAGGAGTCTATTTCTGCCTCCTTCGTCGGAAGATTTGAGGGTCGCAGTGGATTAATTTTTATTTTTGATGGCAATGTACCCACAACAACCCTGAAAATGTTGAGTGTGCTAACCATTTCACCACGGACTGTTTTGCCAACAATTTTATGTTGCTTTACTGCCACCCGTACGACTAGTGCTTTGGCTGCAATGGCGTGTGTTTATTAACGTTGGTATTCGTCTTCGGACTCGCTTCTATTTACTTTTATTCCTGTGAGCAGCGATTGTTCCTCAGAGTGCGGAGGCAGGCTGGTGCTTCCAGCCGCAGTAGTCTGGAGGTCCTCTGAAGAGGTCCTCAGAAGATCTCCAGACCACAGCTCAGTGTGGGCTTGGGGAGGAAGATGTTTACACAGCTCATTATCATTTAAAGGTACAGGCGCAGAATCAGCTCATTCTCAGTGAAGCTTAAAAAGAGGGGGGTACAGGCTGGCTCATATCCACAAATGAAACTTCAAATTTACTATTATGGGACTTCTGGGACCGATTTGATGAAAATGCCATAATAGGAGACCTAATTATTATTATACAGTCATGATGTAAAGCCTCATTAAACAACTTTCCAAGTTTTAAATACAGGGTTTGTTTGCATGATGAAGATTTTAATTTTCCACTTACCGATGTAACTTTCTTCTTTTGTTAAAAACAGACTCGAAACATTGATCATGACCCAAACACATGTACATGTTGCAGCATTGTTGAGATTTAAGCTGCGCTCTGTTTCTCATCACATACAATAAAATGCAGGAAGGAATCCATAAAAACACAGTCAGCTGATCAATAGCAGAAACTTCATACTACGCTCTGTATGAGGTTTAATGTTGTGCAGACACGACTTGCTGAATCAGATCAATCATGTTTAATGTGCAGCTATGTTCGGTCCCTTGGCGCTCTGTAGCTGAGGGACCAGCTCAGATCAATTCAATTTTATGTCTTGATACGACAAGAGCCTAAGAAGCATTTTGATCAGGGACTGAGAAATTCACTCTCACACACATTTCTTAACATTAGCATTTGTAAAGTGTGTTTTTTATTTGTTTTTGGGAGAGAAAATAAAATACACAGCCAACATCCTGGTTCACTGCGGTCTTTTCAGGAATTCTCCTAAAAAACTCCCACTCCTGATCAGGGTGAAATTTTAAGCATGTCATATCAATGATTTCTTGCCATCATCTCTCTTTTGCTGAAGGCTTGTCTTCAGAGATTCAGAGACTTGAAAATTATCAAAAATCATAAAACTGAAACTCTATTAACTGTTTTAGCCTCTTTGTTTTGATTTCTCAGCCTGTGATTTGCTTCTTTGGTCAACTATCTGTAATTCATCTGATGTTTAGCAACATTTTTGCTGTTAAAAAAAAATAAAAGGTATAAAGATACTGAAAAGGCCAAAGAGAGACAAACGACAGAAAAATAAGATAGTGTCAGAATAGCATCACTGGGATTCACAGCATGAAAAAAAAAATTTTATTCAAAAAGTTCCTCTGGGTCACACATAAACCTGTTTCAAAATCAATTAAGACTTCTGAATCAAAGGAAAGCACCACACAGTCATGTGGGCTTTTAGAAAAAGACCCTCACACTGTTATATGGGGGTGTGGTTAGAGGGGTGACTCTCACAAAAGAGTGAATTTCTAAGTTTTGATTGGCGATTTGCCTTGGTATTCATGATGAAATCAACAATTAAAGCTACATTTCAACAGGCTGCTCAAAGCTTTCTTTTAAGTTTAGCGTGACAGTGGCACATTATTTTTGTAAAGATGTAAATAAGGAGTTTGGATATGCATGGTCTTTTTCAGGTCTGGGCGACTGAACTGGGGCCCAGTAAAACAAAACAAAAAAAAAAAAAAACAGATTTCAACAGAGATTTCTCATCCACAACCAAACACTGGGCCACCACATTACTTTTGTGATGATTTGATCATTATACTTAACATTATTAATTTCATCATATAGGAATTATTTTCATTAGAATCACCCCCCCCCCCACACACACACACACACAAAATTCACAGTAAATCTATGCACACACACACACACACACACACACACACACACACACACACACACAACACACCTACATAAAAAAGGAAGAAAAATTTTGATGGTTGAGGCTTATGAGCTCAGATACTAAGTGGAGAATTGAGTTTTTTTTCTTTGCACCTTTCGATATTCTTCATGTTTATTGATGACTTAATTGTTTTATAGTACCGTTAAACTGTTAACACTGCACCTGTCAGAGTCACCACCACACACACACACACACACACACACACACACACACACACACACACACACACACACACACACACACACACACACAGCTCCTTCACCACCCTGGTCATGTACAAACTTGTATACTTATATGTTTCGCCCTTGTTTGTTTTTGTCTTGTTCTGTGTTTTGCTCGTGGTACTGTGTTTTACAAAATATCTTTTTGATCTGTATTGTTTTTCTGTCACTAATAAATTTAAAAAGGAAATTGAAAAAAAACATGTGCACAAATGCTGTTCTGGTAAAAGGCAGCCAAAATGCAACAATAGTTTGGATATCTGATTCATATTGTGCAAAGGGCCCCTCAGTCCTGATGTTTTTTTCACATTGGATGTAAATATAATCATTATTGAAAAAATGACACAGCTTTCAAAGCAAAACATTTAACTTGTTTTTTTTTCTTTTTTTAATGAAAATGTGGGGGGCAAATTTGCGTGTTTCGACGCTTGCGTAGACATGATAAAACATGAATATTGCATGAGTTATTTGCACGATTCAAGCAAATAAGCACAAAATATTCAGGTGTTCAAATACCTGAAATCCGGTGAGGAAATAGGTTCATTGGTGTGAACGCAACATTAAGGTATTAGTCTAAGAAGATTTATGGGGCTGCTACTGTTCTGTTTCTGTCTAAAGCTGAAAATATATTCAAAGTGTCAACTATATAATGCTTAAATGGCTGTAACTAAGGTAGGTCACGGTGACCAAGTGGGTAAACACTATTAAATTGTGTGTGCACTGGGGCTGAGCCACCACAGTCAAAAGAGTCTGGACACACCCCTACAGATTTGAGGCAAAAAAATGAGCTTTTAATTTCACAATAGCTCTTTACAACTTCACAAGTCTTTCTGTGTCTCACACAAATACTTTTTCCTGCAGTGACATCACATGCAAACCCAGTTAAGATAAAAAATGTATTTAACTTTAAGAACTATAAAAGATAAGAGGTCAGATTAAAGTTATGAAGTAATAAATTCAGCAAGTCTCAGACAGGCCATGTGACGATTTGTAAAGATGTTTAAAGATCAGCATGATTGTAACGTCCTGCAATTCTGCTCATTTGAAAAATGCATCACTGTAAGTAAAAATAAAAACTCAGTGTCAGTGAAATGACTCGGGGCTATAGGGACTTTTTGGCCGTTACGCTTTAGCTAATTGGCACCAAACAGTCTGTTGACAGAAGAGCAGCCTGACTGGTTTTAAGTCACCGATCATAGTCACATTACAACCATACCACACTGTCAGGCTCTCATTTAACCTCACAACATTTTTCACACTGCTCAGCCCACCTTAACAGCACACTGACATCCACACTTTAGACATTAGATGAGCTGTTTCTTGTAAAGGAAGCTCAGGAGTCTCTTGTTTATGTCCATGCATGGGAGAGGAAGTGTGGAAATAAACACCATCATCATGAAACTGAAAGCAAAATGTAGCTTTTTTTTATCAGCAGGGCTCAGAGAGGATTTAAAGGCACATTTCACAAAAAACACATAGGTATAAAAAGCTTCCGATCTGCTTTAAAAGAAGTCTTAATCCACATTTTCCTCTTTGTGGTTTAACATGGGGTCAGCACAGTCAGGGTCCACGTCCAGTTTTATATCACTGGGAGCGCTTTGTGCAGAGCGAGCAGCCGCATCACTGGGCTTTTGGGACTTCCTCTTTAGGACAAACATTACAACTATCACTGCAACCAATAACGCGAGCACCCCTAGCCCCACGCCAACACCAATCTTGGCAGAAGAATCCCCTGGAGGCTCAGATGTGGGGACAGTCTTTTTAATTCCTGGTGGCTTTGGATCCACAGTTAGGGTCACAATGGTCTCCTGTTTAAAGACGCACTTGTTTGTTCCCCAGATGGGATCATCAATGACTTCACCCTCACCCTCACCCTCACCCTCACCTTCACCCTCACCCTCACTTAGGACTTCATCCGTATATTCCGTATCGTAATCCTCGTAATCAAGCTCATCCAGAAACCCAAGCCCTCCAAACACAGTACACCAGTACACCCCTCCATCCCTCTCCTGTAAGTTGGCGATTGTCAGCAAGGTGCTATTCCCTGAAAGCGTCAGTCGGCCAGTCAGATCCCACGGGACAGGACCCATGTTGTTGTCTGAGTCGTGGATGAGCTGATGTTTACCTGCCGAGTCACGGCGGTACCACTGCACCCTTTGGGAAGTCTCTTTGCTGACATCACACTCCAGCAAGACATCTCTGCCCTCATCAAGAACTTTGTTTTGCGTTTCCTTTTTAGGGCAGAGAATCAGCGTGTACAGGACCTCCAGTGAGGACGAGATGCAGGAGTAGTCCCCATCAAGTTCACTGGAAACTGAAGGAATAACCAGCGAGAAGTCCTGTGATTCCTTACTCAAAGATAAAAACATGTGTTTGTTCGCAGTGGTGTTGACGTCCAGCCTTCCCATTGGCGTGTCCCATTGGTGGTTGGTCCCTTCGGGGGGGCAGGTCAGCACCACCCGCTCCCCCAATGAGATGAAGACTTCCCTGCTCTCGCTGTGGTCAGGCAGGAACAAGTTCTGGAAACTGGTGCACTTTTTATCCTTCATCACCAAACAGTAAAAATGTTGATTGGTCTTCAACTCGACGCTGTTGAGCAGGAGCAGCGCCCCGCTCTCTCTGACCTCCATGATGCCTCGCAGCTCCTCCTGCAGTGGAATCAGAGACACACTGCTGTCCAGGACCAGAGTCAGCTTATAGGTTGGGTACTTTTCCCTGAACCAGCGCACGGTCGCCCCCTCCTCACCAAGGGAGGAGTGGTTACACCTGAGCTCGGTCACTTCTTCTTCCTGCTTCAGGATGATCTCCTCAGCACTAATCTCCTCGGTGCACACAGACAGCTGCTGCATCTGCTGACTGACGAGTGTTTGGTTCTGCCAGCACTCCCTCCTGTACATACCTGAGTCCAGGTGAGTGAGGTTGCTGATCTGCAACCCCAGCAGCTGCTCATCTTTGTTGATGCGAACGCGGCCCTGGAGGTCTGCAGGAGGTGGGATGGTTGTGTGCTCTGCAGAGGAATTCCCAAGCAGCTGGTCCCCCTCAGGTCCTGATCTGTAAACCACAATATAGTCCACTCCAAAGCAGTAACCCAGCTCGATCACACTGCCTGCAGCTCTGAAGAGAGGGTCTGCATCCTCACCCCTGACCTGAGGCAGGAAGACCAGGAGCAGAAAGTTCAGAAACCTCATTTTGTTCATGCTGTGTCAGTCTCGTACCATGTGCTGTCACACTCTGAGCAGTTGTACAGTCTGTCTGGTTCACTTTGTCACTAAAGATCCGCCTCCTTATGATCTCAGTTTCCTCCTCTCTCACATTCTTGCAGCTGACCTTCAAAAAAAAAAAAGCACACACTTGTGCGCACACACTCAGACGCATGTCAGTGCACTACATGAGTGACAGGGGAGGGTGGGAAGTTTTTTAAGTTACTAGAGTCATTTATTAAATCTTAACAAGTCTGAGACAAAACAAAGCCGGGCACATGAAAATTACAGTTATAGCCTATTTAATGATTAACTGCTGAACTGGTTTCTCTCGGCTGTGGGTGTGTTCAGGGAGTGTTTATGTTGCTTGTATGCTTTTTTTTTCCTGCTGGATTCCTGTCTGGGCAAACATGACAAACGATTTTTTTGATACAACGAATCTAAACCAAATCAGAAGTATCAGGTGATGTGAGCGTGTTTCCTGGCAGCAGACGCTTGATCTTTCACACAAAAGATTCATTTAATACTCTTCTTTCAGTCAGCTGAAGGGAGCAGAGTCCTCTGATTTCAGATTGATTTTGTAACGGTGTAAAAATAAGAGCATCAGCTCAGAAGCTGTAAAGAGGAGTGAAGTCCTGGTTTATGAGGCTATTGAGTCCAACAATATCTGCTTCCTTGTATTGTTAGAGAGTAATACAAAGAGGGCTGTAACTACATTATCAAGTTTCTGTTTCATTTACAATACAGCTAAGTTTTTCCAGGAATAACAGGACATGATCCTAAAGTTACTCATTCACTCAAACAAGTTTCACTTCCCACTGACAAACATGAGAGTGTTGTTCCTCCCTCATGCTTATCTCAATCCTGCTGCGTTCAAGGTTCACAGGAGGAAATAATACGAGTAAAAACACAAGTTTAACCCTCATAGATTAAAACAATGGAACATTGTCGTGAATTATACATGTCAGGAATGGTGAATCTGTAAGTTTGAGTTTCTGCAGATTGCTCAGGTATTTTGGCGACAGATAACACCAGCTGGGAAAACCCTGAGCTTTGGACACTTGCTGAGGTAGTGGGTCAGCTGGTGGATGTGATGTTATGCAGGGAAATTACCCTGGGTAGGGAAAAACTTTGGTGCTTTCTTTTGGGAAAATCCGCATGTTACTGCAGTTCAGCAAAAGAGACAGATAAATTAGATTAGGATAAATGCATTAAATGTATGAAATTCTTATGTCAACACTGACAAAAAAGAGTGAAGGCAAAATAAATCATGGTATAGCTAGCGCACCTTTCATTTATAGACAGGACCAAAGGTTGAAGCTTGATTTGGTTTGGAATGTGTGAAATAAAAATCAAACAGATCTTACAAGAAACAATTGATCACAAACAAGAAACAACAATGCAATTACTAGCATTACAACATTACAACTGTAACCAAGAAGCATAAATCAAGCTGGTATTCACATCTGTGATAAATACACACAATTATGTGACCAATCATTACAATAAAGTGAGATATAACCGTGTTTTAAGCATGTATGATAGTCCTGTACATATTTAAAAGGTATTAATATTAAAAGGGTTAAGGAATGGTAAAGGAAAATCTTTTCAACTTTATTTATTTGGATAGCACTAAACTTTAGATAAGGGGTTCATGACTGACCTAACTTTAGTTAGTTTTTCCTCAAGAATAATCTCCTCAGTAATTCCTGTTGATTGCTGATACATTTTTGAAAAGTTCAGTTGATAAGAAGCGAACATGAGGCATTTGAAACATGTTTGGCACTCTCAGAGGAAATGAAAGTGCTGCGGTCCACTCCTCACAACTTCACGCTGACATAACGGCAATGAATGTGTGAGAATGACACTCTGAGCAGTCATGACCCTATAAGGAAGCAGAGGCAGGAGATGAGTCAAACCCACACAATGGGTATTTATTTACAGTGAACAACAAATACACCAACAAACCATACCATGTTCACAACATCATGCACAGGACAGAACCCCTACTGAGAGAAAGTGCTCCCTTATATTCCCCTCCCCAATCAAGTCCTACCATATGCAGGGGTGCTAGAAACATGAAACTTTATTTTGTACCTATTTAAACCCCCAAACCATAGCATTTAAACTGCAAAACCCCCAGACTACACTACCATATGTGACTACAACTGCTCGCGAGGCTTCGAATGTCATCACAAACGTCATCAACACTACCTTACATGCTTCACCGAAATTTTCAAGGATTACTTGACACACACACTAAAGGACACCTCACAATTATTCACATCAGGTTATACTTCATATTGCACCTTCGCTATCTTAATCAGTATACAAGTCTGCCCGGACTTTGCCAACTTATAGTATGTTTCTCATAGGTGGTATGGCTAAATCAACCACCCGGCTACCACACAGACAGCAATCGTTTCTGAGCAACACACATCATTTACCAAATCTGGATAAAAGTATTTTTACCAAAATACCTTTCAGACTCATTATTTGTTAACATGTCATGTTTGATTTTAATCCATACAAGCCTACAATGACACGTCGATCTATGTAATGTGACCACTTGTTTTGTTAGCTGCCGCAATCCTCAGCTCCCTAACAGAGACTGGAGAGACCTCTGTGACAGGATGCCACCATTGCATAGATAGGTGGTCAGTGGACATAGGCCTTTAATTTGCTGTTATACTTGTTGTTTAGGAGTCTGACAGCAGTTAAAATAAACGGGAAAAAAGGTTTGCAGGTCTAAGATTGACAGAGAAAGATGGCAGCCTAGCATATTAGTGCAACATGTCTACTGCTTTCTTCTGCCAGTTTATGTTTATGACTCAAGACTCATTTTACAAACTTGATACTGTTTCTTCTCTCTTTCTCTGTGTGGCAGTTTAATCTGAGTTCAAGTCTGGTCCCGTCACACAGCCCATCACAGACTCTCTGTCTTCACTGTGGAGACCATTATACTGGACCAGGCTCACATAATATAATTTTAACATGTCTTAATTTTTTTGTTTCCGCCGTTTTATCTTCCAATTATTGTCTCTCTGTACTTTTTTCAAGTAAATTTGATTTTTAATTTTTTTTTTAGTTTGATACTCGTGCAGAAGCAGCAGCAGCTCGTTGCAGAGGTGGATTTTGTTTGCGTGACTTTGCCCAAACCCTTAAATAACACCATTGAGACTGTTACTGGGCTGACTGAAAGCAGAGGAGGTGTGAATGACTCTGTTTACTCTGCAGGCCCGCATGTTGTTTTATCAGCATTCTTCCATTAAAGAGAAACTTGATTCCCAAAAGGCACGTAAAAACAAATCAGCGCCTTTCTTTGTGCATCTGAAAAACACAAAGTGTTAAGAAGAGGATTATCAGTGCTCCTGCTGACATACTCTCTTCTGTCGTTTTAACAGGTATTAAGAGTATAAAGAAACACCATCCCGCTCTTCTCTGAGGCGTATCATCTGTTTACTGAAACATGAACTATAATGAACTTAGCCTCTCACTCAGCTGCAGCAGCTCGAGCTGCAGAGTGAACAGCTTGCAGAGTCGGTGATCAGGCATCATGATTAAGCGCCAACTGTGAGAAAACTCCCTGTGTGTTCGGTCCACTTCAGCCCTGTGCTGATTGCACTCATCAGTGCCCGTATGCTGCAGGCTTTGGAGATGCACCAACTGCTGATTGAGGAAACCGACTAGCCAAAAATATTTAATTATTGGACATATGTGTTGCAATTACAAACACAGCTCTGAGAGGGGAGTGTGCGTGCAACTGGAGCACACAATCAAATAAACCCTTAAAGAGGAAAAATAACTTCTTCTCTTAGAATCACATTTATTTCTCAAAACTTATTCCTCAGATGAACTGGAGGAAGTTACAGATCTGCCATGCTAAGAAGCCTTAAATGTCCCTTAAGACATCTCAAAGCAGAGAGGATATAAAGGGAACAAATCAAAGTCATTAGCAAACCTGTTGAAATGTAAAATTACATTAAATTACAAGATGTTATATATAAACTATTATTCAATTACCGTTTCATACATGACTGCGAATTTGATAGTCTCTCTACAAACAATAAGCAATTTTTGTTATTGGCAGAACTGGTTATTTTGCTCATGCACATCATAAATAAATTTATGTGACAGTCAAAGTTACATTTTATAAATTGTTTTAGGTTTCAGGGTGCAATATGGGACAGGTGAAAATTCTTAAAAAGTTAATTGAGAACCTTATCCTTCACTCGAAGGATATGAGGAACACATTCCTTATCAATTTCAGTCAAAATTTTCAGATAAAGGTTGCGTTTAGTGACATTTTATATGTAATATATTGCTAATACTAAATCAAGTTAATATCAAACTGAATGATTCCAGGTGAAAGAAATGTAAAATTCTTGCAAAAACAAATATAATTATATATTTTAAGATAAAAAATTAAATTAATGTCACAGTGGCTCTTGAATCACACTTGGGTCCACACTCTGATTGATGACTTTGTGTGCCAATCATGAAGGGACAGCAACCATTGGTCACTAGACTGGTTACCCCAGAGACCCCAGGTACCCCAAGGATGGTGGGGTTAACTATAAGTGCTTTAGTTTAACCCACCTTTATATGATTTAACAAAAAAAATAAATACATAAACAAAATCAAAGTGAAAAAAATGAAAAATTTCAGTATTGTTAAGAGGCAGCTATACTTTTTTTCTTATGATTGTAGCTCATTTGAGTCAAAAAACGAATTACATAATGTCTTTGCCAGACATAGCCTACTAAAAAATCCTTATTTCTGCTTATTTCTACATTAAAGGGAAATTCCAACTTTAACGACCGCAGATAGCAATACACAGAGCTACGTGCTCAAACAAAAAGCCACTCTATAGCCACAAATAATGCTCAGAACAGCACCTAACTTCATCAACAGTACACATAGGGTCCCAGCCACAGCACTAGCCATCAAACATCTTTTTAGCTTTGCCTAATTTCTTCAGCAAAGAGACTACACACAACTCACGGTCTCTTTCCCAGCAGCCGCTTGTTTGTACGAAGACTTCCGGTCGAGTCCATTACTGACTGCAGCATGGGAACGCAGCCCAAGGAAGAACATTTATGATTATCAGTTCATTGAAATGCAATCAGGCCGAGACGCTGAGGCAGAAGAACTACTGTTTTTGCAATGCAAAATGTTTAATATGATGAGTATTACTTCAAGAAAATGATCAAGTCTAACTCGGTGTTGTTACAGTGTGTTTGACCCTAACTTAATTTTAAGCCGGAATATCCCTTTAAAGCTAGTTATTAATTTATTTCATTTATTTATTTGGTATTTATGCATGCTGTTTTTGCTCAAATGGCTTTTCTTTTGGTAAAGCTCCGTTTTACATATTCGAAAAAAAACTAAAAAAAAAAAAAAACTGCTCAGCGTACTGCATTAACGATGCTTTGAATCAACCTGCCTCACCTTGTAGTTCTTACTACAACCTGCGTGGCGCTGTGGTGCAGAGAATTCACATGATTACAGAAGAAGAAACCGTTTCATAACAAAGCGTCACATCCTCTGACCGCTGCTAAAGGTAACCAATTTTTCCTGCCTATATATTACATACCGTTTATTTTAATTCACAATATAAATACACGCTTACATCAAATAATAGAATTGCTCATTACGATGATTTATGATGTGACATGTCGAAATGTCAGGGCTGCGGGGATACTGTATTTACCTCTGAAGGGAACCGGCCAGCAGGCTACATAACTAGCATGAATGCTTTTTTTTAAAGACTTTTATTTTGAAAGTTTTGATGAAGCAATTTTATATACTTGTCTGCAAAAAAAGAAAACCCTCTTAACGTTGCAGCGAGAAGCCCCGGAATGCATAAAATGTTAAGTAACGTGTTAGGTAAGGGCGCTAAAATTAGTATCTGATCTGCAGCTCCTGTTTCAGGTGAAGAGAGAGGGTGGAGAAACCCAGGTTCTGACCCAAAACCACTTTACAAAGAGTTGCTTTGTATCTGGACTAGATAATCTAGGAGAGTTTACAGAGCTGTAAAACACTGCTGTTTATACATTTATTTGGTTGCAGCGGCAGAGATAATGGAGGTATGTGTACTATGACATGATAATAGACTGATTTTAGTTCAGTTTATGGAAAATTAAAGTCTACAGATCTAAAGTAATAACAGAGCAGTAAGAGCAGTCATATTAAAGACATTGAGGAATGTAATGAGGGTTTGAATGAGGACAACTGAAGCAGACAGAGCCAGAAAGTTCTATGATTAACATTAACTTAATAACTGTGGCTGGCTGCTGCCAATATATTAAAGGTTTAAACAGCATTGATAATGGAGAGACTGATGCTTGGAAATAAATGTGTTGAGCTGATTAGTGATGGGCATGGCAGTTCTTTTAGATGTACTGAGTCACTAGAATCAGCTCACTAAAAAGATTCGTTCAAAAGATTTGTTCATGGAATCACCGACTCGTGTAGCGCTTGGCAGGAGGAGCCTGTGACTCTGACCTTCTGGACTGATACACAGCTGAACGTTTCAGGATTCAGTTCAATTCATAGCTTCTGGGACTGGGAGACCAGAGTGTTTGGCTGTGTTGCTTTGGCAAACAGGTTTGTAAAAATGAACTCGTTTATAACTCATGATGTTTTAAGTGTACTGTCCTATAGTATGTTATTTATCAAGTCTGCTCTGTAAATTGGACTCAGTGAGTGACTCGTTCAGTGAACCTTTAGAAGAATTCACACTGAACATGTACCGTTCCCTCACAAACCGCTGCGATGATCAGCAGGGCATCTGCAGCAATCCAGAGGATCCTTCAGGAAGATGGGGTTCAGATACTCAAAGAAAAGACTGTGGTTCCTGCGTTTAGGGCCAAAACACTGAAAACTGTCCCATCTGGATTCTTGTGGGGAAACAGTTTTTAAGGAAAAGCTCAGCAGAGGCAAAAAAAAAAAAAAAATGACCGTGATCACAGCTTTGTGTTGGATAAAATACTAAATTAACTATATTTTTCTGTAAAATATTGTTGGAAAAAATAGTCAAAGGGATCTCATAATCTCAGCATTTGAACATTTTCGTGGGTTAAAATGACCAGATTTTTCATTATGGAGATGTATAATAAAGGTTTTAAGCAATAACTCAGGACACGTTGTGATACTAGAGATGCTCCTAAGTGACTTATGTACCTGTTGATTTAACAGAAGTTTAAATTCTGTCTGACTGTTAAGTAAAAAGCAGGAAAAGCTTCAAGAAACTGCCACTGAGCTTAATTTAACACTGAAATTAACACCGTCCTAAACATTATGGGGTGTAGTCTGTTCTAATGTTATTGAGACAGTTTATCACCTTTTCATTAACAAAATCAACAGCTTTCATGTGCAAAACAAACACAACTACAAAGTTTTATTTTTCTCTGTTCCCAGTTTTCTCTTATGTATTTCTGGCCCTTTCCTCTAAAAGAAAGATATGAAAAGTCCCAAATATAACCTTTAAAATAACGAAAAATAAAGAAATTCACATATTCAGCTGTGCAGAAAAAAAGCCTCTCTGAGCCTGTGATTTATATCATCACTGGGAAGAGGTTAACATCTGGGTTCCACCAGTGTTAAAGCAAGTAAATCATGTTACAAGAGGCTTTGGACAAATTGCAACACTACCCAGTATGCCAGTATAATAAGAGTTATTATCATCATGATTTTGTCAAAAGTTCTACTACATTGAAGGTCATAGGTATAGCTTTGTTGTTCTGGTTGTTAAAAAGGTCTTTCTGGTCTGTTTGGCTCATTAAAAATCAAGAGGAAGCTCCAGAAACTCCCTCTGGCTATACATAATGGGAGGAAGATACCATTGTTAAGCATGACATTCATTTGAAGAGTGGAACGTACGTTTTAACTACAACACCCGTGATGGTTTGGCATCATACCCTGATAGAAGCACATGACCGGCCATGCTTCCCTCCTGATCCTACAGATCTCAACACAGCTTTTTGATTCACATTAGAACTGGGCATGTGTGGAGCTTGACTCAGCTTATTCTAATAAAACTGATAGGACCTTCACTTAAGATGGAAAATTAGAGCAGAAGTGGTTTGGTAATGAAAGTTGTAAGACCCAGTTACTATAGTAAAATGTGAGAATGAAAAAATGAAATGAAGAAGACAAGCAGGTCCACGTTCAAGAAGCACAAAAGTAGTCAAGAACTTAATACGATTTAAAACAGCAAATAAATATCACTAAATATCTCACTAATTTCAGAAAAATGAACACCAGGAATTCAACATAAAAGGAACTAACATTAATGAGAGGAAATACATTCAATATAAATTTTAATTCTGCGGTTTAATTCTGTTACCATGGAGGAGGCAGAGATTATGACCTATACGCAGCCAGTCAGCGGGAGTAGCTAGAGCTGAAACTAGATTTCAATTTTGATAGTGATTTTGGGCCCCACTATCATAAAAATAGGATCTGAACGACTGAATGATATTGTGCTGCAAACTATCAGGCAGCCTCAGGAGGAGAGGGGAGAGCAGGGAGAGGAGGAGGCAAATGTGTTTATTGTGTGTCTGAAACAGAGTGGGGTGAGTTGGTTTATTCAGTATAATATTGACGGTCTAGCGTGGTCGTCACACTATTTTCTTCTTCTCTGTACAGGTGATTAGGACTCGGCCTTCATGCTGCGCTTGATTGCATCCTCCTTGTGTCTGAGGTGTCAGCGTGCTCCGGCTTTACCGCTAAAGCTGCGACCATGTGTGACACTGAGCTCAGCGGAGAACCAGCAGACGGTGGAGGCTCTCTATGACCTCTCAGTGGACATCCAGAAGGTCAGGAAGCTGAATGGCTGGGTCCTGCATCAAAACCCTGCCTACACTAAGGAGGTGGCCAACCTGCTGAGGGACATGGGGGCATCTGGTTCCGTCATTGCCCGAATACTGTCAGTCCACCCTGAGTCTGTCCTTTGTCACCCAGAGCAGATGCAAGCTCAAAGGGAACTGTGGATGTCCGTGTGCCCAAACCAGAAAGAGCTGGTCAGTATCATCGAGAAATTCCCCGCCTCCTTCTTCACCTCCTCCAGTCACCATGACAACCAGCGGGATAACATTGCGTACTTCCAGAGTTTGCACCTCAACAAACGTATCGTCACCAAGCTAATGGCGAGTGCCCCGCAGAGCTTTAGCCGGCCAGTGGAGCAGAACCAGCTGATGATGCAGACCCTGCAGCAGGCCTACAGGGAGCTGGGTGGCGAGGAGGCCAACATGAAGATCTGGCTCCAGAAGCTGCTGAGTCAGAACCTGTTTGTTCTCCTGAAGCCGCCGGAGGTGCTGAGAGAGAACTTGCTTTTCCTCAGAGATCGTGGCTTCAGCACGGCCGAGCTGCTCCGCCTTCTCTCCAAACTCAGGGGCTTTGTCACCGAGCTGAACCCCGACAGCATGAGACACATGATGGCGTTCTCTCAGGAAACAATGGGGTGCTCGGAGGAGGAGTTGCGGAACACTGTGCTCAGATGTCCCGCTCTGCTGTATTACACAGAGGAGATCCTGTCTGAGCGCTTTAAGGGCCTCCTCAGTGCAGGAATCAGCATGGCCCAGATCATGGAGACGCCCACCGTTCTGGAGCTGACCACGCAGATTGTGAACTACAGGATCCAGAGACTGAAGGCCTATGGTTATGATGTAAGGACAGGAAGTCTACAGGTTTTAAACGGCACAAAGAAGGACTTTGAAATGAGCTGTGGAAAGCTTCAGATCAGGAGAGAGAGGCCGCTGTTTAACCCTGTCGCTCCATTAAGAGGAGACGACTGACAGAGACCGAAAAGACTTATGTGGTGAATAAAACTAAAACTGGACTTGAAATGTTTCTCTGATTATTTATAATTGAAATAAAACACAAAAAGTGTTTGTTAGGAGTGTCTGCAGTATTCAAGTGTCATGAAAAGAAACCACATTGGGTCCCACAACCCCCTCCGCTGTAGGTGTGGTGATCATGTAACTGTAGCATCCATGGCTGGTGCAAATTAAATTGGGAATTATGGTAGCCAAATGGAGACTCTTGAAAAACTAACATCTCAATGACTTAATGGTGTAGGCTTGAAGCAAAAAGAAGATATTCTCTCTAAGGGGAGTAATTTAAGTCACTTAATTTTATCATTTAAAGGGATGTTATGGCGTAAAATTAATTTAGAGTCAAGCATACCGTAACACCAAGTTAGACACGGACTTATGATCATTTCTTTATCATTTCCTTGAAGTAATAATCACCATATTAATCATTTTGCACTGCAGATGCTGTAGTTCTTCTTCTTGAGCATCTCAGTCTGACTGCATTTCAATGAGGAAATCATCATAAATGTTCTTCCTTGAGCTGTGCCCCCCCTCCTTAGTCAATGATGGACTGGTCGAGGTCTCCCTACAAACAAGCGGCTGCTGGAAGAGAGTCGGTGAGTTGTGTTTAGTCTCTTTGTTAAAGAAATTAGCCAAAGCTAATAAGATGTTTGTTGGCTAGTACTATGACTGGGACCCTATATGTCCTGTTGATGAAGTTAGGTTCTGTTCTGAGCATTATTTGTGGCTATAGAGTGGCGTTTTGGTTGAGGTTTGTATGTGGCTCCTAAGACCACTGTGTATTGCTATCGTGTGGTCATTTCTAAAGTTGGTATAACTTGAGAAGCAAGCGGTCGGCAACATTCATCTCTTGATGGGGTGTCTAACTCAGTGTTACAGTTTGTTTGACCCAAACTTAATTTACACCAGAATATCCCTTTACCGACTACAGTGCTGTGTCAAAAGTAACACCCACGAGCTGTAGGTAACAATATAAAAACAGATAACATGTAACAAGATGTTGACAGCTAATCTTAGGTGTTTTACACAGGGGCAGAACCTCCTTGTTGATTCATGACTTTAAGGCTTTGTAATAAGAAACACCCACAAGCTGTAAGTAACCAACAGTGGCTGATATGGCAAAAGATGATATGTAGACGGAGGCAACAATACGCCTCAAATGTTTAACATAAGGGCAAAACTTCTAAAGGTTAAGACTATGGAGCTTTTGTTAAAAGTAACATCCCTCAATGGGAAAACAGATTAAGTGTTTCAGGTAGGGGCTGACTCGAGCTGAAGGAGGGTTTCAAGGAAGATAACCGAGTTTGAAGCCATTTTAAGCTAAATTCATTAAATATCAGATGTTTTGTCTCTCCTTAGATATAAAGAGTCCTATGGTGTAGGATTAATTTTGAAGTATAAGATGGAAAAAAGGTTCATGTCATCCTGATAGGGCCTATGCACACTTTTGTTCTTGAGTTTAAGATTTATTAATTCTTTGATTTTGATTGGATTCATTTCAGGGTGCTCTTGAAATTTTATTCCAAAAAAAGTGATTCTTATCAGCTGATGTGTGCAACATCGATTTTCTTTTATAACTGATTTTATTTATAGGGTTTTCATCCCAGATTTTCTTTCGTGTAGGTGAAAGGACTGCTTGTATTCCCACATTTATAAGAACGTAAGCCACAAAATCAACACGCAATCTCACTGAGCTTCATCTGAACTGAGAGGAGTTCTGGAAAATTTTCCCCTGTCTCTTTTTGAATGTCCCTTGATGTTTCTAAGCTGGAAAAAGCCCTTAAAACATGTTTTTTCCCCTTTAATGAGAACAAGCTGCACGGCTAATGAAGCCATGACTTTATGCCTGGAGGTTTCCTCGCTATCAGACTGTGGACCACAAGGGTCAAAACAAAGAGAGAGGGCGAGAGTGTCCAGAGGGAGGAGGAGGAGGAGGAGGAGCAGGAGGAGGAGGAGGAGGAGAGATGGGTAATGTACATTAACATCTCTCTCTTCCCATCTGCCTCCTCTGCATCACCCAGCAGGACTCCTACAGATGATGGAGGGTAGCGTCTTTGGGTGGTGCTCCTCAATGATAAATACATATTTAATCAGGATTCATGGAGGCGAGTAAGTGAGACCAGGCCTCAGGTGTGCACATGCAGGTCACCTCTATTTCTTACTCACAGTCCCCTTATCATCCTGAATCACACAGATGAGCCGCAGAGGTTAATAAGAGGGAATATAAATCCTCTTTTTTTTATGTCAAACAGGACGCTGCTGATAACAAACTGCTTTTATGGGCCGTATCTCTGCAGATTCAGGTGACATCTGTAATTAGGAGCCATAATTCCTAGTTAAAGCCAGAGCACTGAAGACAACACAACATTCATCAAAAGAAGAAATGTTCCTTCTTTTGCAACTTTAAGCTCCTGCGAGGAGTTTCTAACTTGTTATGGATGCACTGGCTGTAATGAAAAAATGGACATACAATTAAAACCTCCATCTGTTGAACAAAAACGAAGTCAAAATACCTGTCAAAAAAGCTGTCAATCGTGAAGTCGCATCCCATCTAACCAACATCAACAAACCTCCTAAATTTAATCTTTAATTTTATTTATAACTGGTTCAATGAACTCTTTGTCCATCTACAATAGTCTCATTTTGTCCAGATTTTGAGCATGGCATTGATCTGACTAATGTTGTTTGTCACGTCAGAGTTTGTTTCACTGTAACTCGTTACACCCTCTGCTTGGAGAAAGCCTTATTGGTTAGTCCTTGCAGCAAACAGGGCTGTACACTTTGTCGGTGCACATTTGACATTTGCATCATGACAGGAAAAATTAAGATAAAAAAAATAAAAGCATGACTGTTGTAGAGGTGTTCCACAAGGTTGGATTTTGGGCCTCATGCTTTTTTCTGTAATCATAAGTATGTTAATAAATTCAATTTAAAAAGCGCTTTTCAAAGAACCAAAGGTTTCTTAACAAAGTGGAATAATACAGTAAAGATAGAAACAACATGACGTCCTCCTCAAACAGTAATCATGCTCACTTTTGTGCAGATGTCACTCTTCTATTGTATCAATGATTCTGTAATGCCACTAAAAACTAGCATGTTGCTTTCAACACTTAACATGGGGCTCTTATAAGCCTCAGACAGTTTCTTAATGTCAGCTTCACAAACTTCATGGTGTTTTTTTCAAAGTCAGAATTAGTAATAAATCAGTCATGATGAAACCAACTAAGCAGATTTTTAAAGTCAAACTTCACTTGGAGTTTTACTTTGATTCTCTCATATTTGTTACACATTAACAGCCTTTTTTGTGTAAATAAAGAAATGTACAAGTCGTTTTTACATTTTCTTTTAACAAAAATGCCTTATTGGGCTGAATTTGAGCTACATTGACCTAACAGTTCCAGAAAATATCTTGTTTTTATACACTTTGAAACAAGACCTAATTTATTTGTAATGAGTTGAAAATTTGCAAATTGAACAAGAAAAAGAAAAGCTTGTCCAGTAGAAAAAAATAAGACATTTATAAATTTCAAGAAATTTTGATAGAATTTTTATTTTGTTCATTGGCAGATTGTTGTTTCTTCTCATTCCAAATTACATTGTAATTTTTAATGCATTTAACCCTTGTGCACCCCTTAAAAATGAATGACACTTGTTCATCGCTCACTTCACCAGATTGTAGAGTGTGTGTGAAACCCGCACCACCACCTCCACCCCAGCCTCGTTGGCTAGTTTCTGGATGGCGGCGTCACGCTCCTTCCCAAACGGCTCGGAGTCGTACTCATAAGATAGGCGTTTGATCTCCCACTCCTGAATGAGACAGATAGAGAGAAAGGTTAAGGTTTATCTTTTAGATCCGAGAGAATCACAACGTTTACGGTGAATTGACACAGTATCTGTTTGAGTCATGTGCTGCATGTGAGGCTAATCAATAGTAAGAGTGACTCTTTTTTCCCCAATCTTGTATTTGAACGCTCCCTGCGTTAGCTATTTGAATTGTTTGATCTACTTTCAATTAATTGTCCCACCTTAAACAGACGAGGGAAGACATCTGTGGGCTGTCCTCTGATGACAAACAGGCGGGAGTTGAGTTTGCGCAAGCTGGCGTCCAAGTCCTCCAGACAATGCAACAAGAACCTGACACACACAGAATGAAGAAATCCATTAATTATACAGCTGGAAAACCAGACGCCGTGATCGCACTGTCTACAATAACGAGATCAGTCATACAGCAACAGACTGATCTGATGATGAGAGGACAGTGGGAAATAAGCAGCATATGGTGGGTAATTGTTTGTACCGAATCAGTCATGTATAGGGTTGGGAATCGAGAATCGAGAATCGATGGGAATCGGGACAAAAACTTCGATTCTTCCGGTATCGTTCAAATATTAAAATTTCGATTCCAGGTTTCGATGCCAGAGTCCGCCGACCGGAAGAAATAGCCGCCGAAAATCAACGAAGAAGAAGCCGCTTAACACCAATGAGGACGGAGCGAATGAGACGAAGCCACACAGAGAGAGGAGAGAGACAGAGAGAGAAAGTACATTGCAACCCACAGCAATGCAGCCGCTGTGGGTTACAATCTCTCTCTGTCTCTCTCCTCTCTCTGTGTGGCTTCGTCTCGTACGCTCCGTCCTCGTTGGTGTTCGGCAGCTTCTTCTTCGTTGGTCAAAAGTTTGGCTAACTTTAGCAGGAAGAATGAACTCTTATCTCAATGCAACATTAGCAATACAGTTATATCATGCAAAGGAGGGTAAACGACCAACATGATTAAACACCTCAGGATTCATGGAGGAGAAATACCCGAGTGCTCGTCTTTGACGCGCTTCGCCGGTGTTGTGTCGTAGAATGCACCCCTGACGGGAGCGCGGTTGAAAGTACACAACAAGGCGAAACAATCCAAGTTTTTCTTACCGTTGGACGGAATCTAAAGCGTGTGCCTTTAATGATTTCATTCAGGCTATTCAGATATGCCGAAAACAATAGCCCTCTGATTCGGAATATTTACTGTCCTGAAAATATTATGTTCTCTACATTAACAGCTTACTCTACAGTTTATATACCCAAGTACACCTTTATGTGTGCATTTTTGAGACACATACAAACAAAACGAAAGTTTACTGCTCCATTTGACACGTTTTCATGATCTAATACCCGTGTTTTATTAAATATGAGATCATATTTCTTCCACTAAGAAGCTAATCAGTGAAGGGGAGGCATTCTACGGCAGGGGTGCATTCTACAGCACAACACCTGACTTCCGCTAACCAGTCAGGATCAGATAAGTGAAACAATAAATTACTTCTGTCCTCTGCTAACTTTGAAACGGTAAAGAAATTGAACTGTGTACGGTGAGTAAACTTAAATATCCACCTAACGTTAGCCCTTGTACTTTTTCATAGACAAACGACCTGAAAACAAAAATTGATATTTATATACAGGTTGAAAATAGCTCTGTGAGAAATTCATAGTAAAGTTCTTAAAAACTTCATAGGATTTAAAAATTCATGGAGAAGTTCAGAAATTTCATCCAAAAAGAAGAGCCCCGGTTAGCACCCTCATTCAAACCATGCTTCTTTTTTCTTTTTTCTTTTTGATATCCTGCCTTTTAAAAGAATCGAATTAGAGAATCGATAGGAATCGGAATCGAAATGAGGAATCGAAATTGGAATCGGAATCGTTCAAAATCAAACGATACCCAACCCTAGTCATGTACCTAAAAAAAAATCTATTCTTTGTTGTTCTTGCAGGTATTCTTCTCCTTCTGTTCTTTTTCAGACAGCTGGGTACGGTGCAAACATACATTGATGCACACAAACATGAATGCTAGCCACGAATGGCTCCTGTTAACTATCAGGTAGCAGGTGAGGAGTCTGATAAGGAGGGATAAGTGGATTTAAATGTTCCAGCATTTCTAAGAGTTTTCAAAACCCTCTAATTCATTTTTATTTTTGAAACAATATTTCACTGAAGTTTCTTTAGGATTGAATCTCTTAGGGTTGTATCTGAGCTGGAACTGATTCACGATTGATCAAAAACAGGAATTGCATCTGTGGCATCCTCTTTAAATTACATTCAACGCCATACATTTATTTTTCTCAGTGAAATAAACTGAAACTAATAAGTGTGTGAAATAGTTATACAATTTATTATACTAGCTAGTGAGTGTAGGTTAAATTCAGCCCCTGAAACCAAAACACGAGACCACATGTGTGAGCCCAGCTGACTGGACTTAAAGGCTAAGCTGATTGGATGCCCAGAAGTTTCTTGTGAAGGAGTCAGGCCTGAAGGCTGCTGCTTTGAATGTGCAGTAAAAATGCATGAAATCAGAAGTCTGGGCATTCACACAACATGACTACTTTTTATACAAGACAAATTAGTAAGACTTAAGATCACCTTAGCTGTTACACTCCAGGTAAAAAGGATTTAATTCAATCCCAACTCTTGAGAATGCAAGATGGTATTTTACCAGCATTACAGCACCTTCAAAACAAGTTATTTTTAGCTTCATCTTATGAAAAAAAATTAAAGGCAAAACCTCTGAGATGAGACAAAATAATGATCCAACAAAAAAAAAAAAGCAATGGCACAGAATGCAAAGAGTGAGCTTGCTGCCCTCTGCTGGTCAAGTCTTTTAGAACACAACATCCGCATCAGTGCACTGTCTGGCGCAGCAGAAACTTCTGTTATCACAACAGGAAGTGCGCCCTCTGTAGGTGGGCTCACATGCCTTACTTAAAGTGAAGAATTTTGTCTCTTTTAGGGTTACAATTGCATCAAACCTGATTTCCAAAGCAGCATCTCATAGTTTCTTATTCAAGTAAAAAAAAAAGGCACAGGTTTAGTTTAACTCCACAGTGGGATTACTTGCCTTTTGTAGCGATAGGAGGAATTCTTATAATTCAACCATTTTTTTCTCCTTTCTTGTAAGACAGGGGGAATCTAGAGCCTTTTACATTTAAATACAAACTATAAATATAGTAGAAACACTGCGGTTTGCACTATTTGTTAGTCCCTGAAGACAAGTCTGAACTTAAAGACTACAGGTGCTCTCACTTGGCCCAGTTTCCTTGTACTGTGCTGGAATACAATTTTCCAACTCCCCAGTCTCTCACTGGTCTGTTCTCACACTGCTCCAGACTCTAACGAGCCTAGGCACAATTAGTGCAAGATGTGCAAAGCACAAGATGTGCTTCACAGTGATCAACAACACAGAGAACATGACTGAAAATTCACTGGCTTTGTGGTTTCGGGTGCACATCAGTGTTAAAAGCTATGGAGCTGTCTAAAACATGATGTTTTCATAGTTTGTGTAATGCATATGTTATATGACATAGGGAAAAATGATTCATTTTTAACGCTTCTTTGATGTTCCATCTATAAATAAAGCACAGTCTGCAGAGTCAGGTCTTGAGGGGTCATTAGAGGTCAAACGTCCCAGAGTGTGGTTAAGATTGCCTGGTGATGGTGCGCCCAAATAATAATGCCAGAATGCCAGAAGTTCAGACTTATAGGTGGTGAATGAGATGTAACAGGCATGTGGTATATCATCTCTATGAAGGCTTTGCATTTACCAGCTCACAGATCTTATCATTTCAAATGAATTCACTTTAGCAGAGAGTCAAACATCACATGTTGGCCATGCATTGGACTCATGTAACAGGTTGTGTCGCAATGCTTTTTTCAGGAACGAGGAGTGTATGGCCAGCCAAGACTTGGGAGAACAGGGACATGGTAATGTGTCCTGATTCGGTTTGAATTAAATTGATTGTAAAGGGTCAAGTTATGTGGGAGAAGTGGACAGATCAAATCTGTACCAAGTCTCAACAAAAAATGTTCCACTTAACCTTGTGGCCAAAAACAGTCAGTCTAATAAAAGTGCAGTAAAAACATTATACATTCATTTTTTTTCTTTTACTTTAAAGCATCACATCTTGTCCACTACTTCAGATCTATCCATAGATATAAAGTTTATTATAATTTTTTTTTTATTATTATTATTTTTTAGGTTTTTAGTCTTTTTTTGTCAAGAGAACCCCTGATTTTTTTAATGGGAAAAACACAAGATATGCAATATTTACAAAAATGAGGTGCAAAGTGAAATATTTTTGATAAAGATAAAACAGCCCTGACCATGTCAACAATTGATAAAAATATTGATTTTAATGCATAATATTATATTTGCACAATGGCAGTTTTAGGTAAAAACTAACACTTGTTTAACAGCTGGTGTCAGCAGCTGTTTTTACAATTTCCTTATAAAATTCCCGTTTTATGAGGAATTTGACTGTAAAGGCAGCAGGATGAGAAGTTCCTTTGATTCTCTGTCTCGGTCTCTTAAAAGTGAGTCAACGTCCTTCCACTTGAGTAAGAACCTACACGAGAATCAGAACCTGATGAGTAAAGTCTATATTCCAACAAACCTAAAGCCCTCTATGTTTGTGTGTTTGGAAACCCATTACTACTTTTGGCCACAAACTGGCAAATATCAGGAAATGCTGAGAAAGCAGTGACACAATTTTCAGCTTGTTTCGGTCATTTGGCTCCATCTAGTGGCTAAAAGCATCACATGCAACCACATAATTTAAGGCTTTTATTCACAAATGGACATAAAGTTAAAGATCAAAATTCTTTTTTGTCTGTTATAAATGAAGACAAGATGTGTTTTTTCATTGAAAGATACAAAGACAAAACAGGATTTGGTCCACAATCAGGAACGTTTCTCACCACTTCTCAATAAACCAGTGCAATCGGCTCAGGTCTGCTATGACTCACAGAAACAATCTGTCCCCGACTAACTAACAGCATTCTTACTGAGCAGCTGCTTCATCACTGAGGAGGAGGAGGATGAAGGCTGAGGATGGGAGAGGATTTTTGCTTTTAATAGAAACTGATAATAAAAGTCTAACCAGCTGCTGTGGCGGTGGGGAATTAATTCTGAGATTAGAAACATAAAAATGAAGAAGAGGACACTAGCAGCTGTTAAAGTGTCTGTGCTCACAGTGTTCGGAGTTTAAAGAGTTTAAGTTCATTTTTACAAAGTTTGGAAAAAGTCTAATGAGGAGGACAACTTTTTCATCATTTATACAGCATCAGCAGTCTCTTTTTTGAAAACCTGAAATCTGTATTTAATGCCGTTTTCCTCCTGGATTTTACTTGGCACTCCAGGGAATCTGTGTAAAAACAAGAAAATCAAAGTTAGAGTTTATTAAAAGGTACTTACAGTAGTACTTAAAGTATTTCAAAGTGTGTGAACAGAAAGGATATGTTTCAAAATACAAGGTCAAAATACACTTCAAATACATATTCTTAACGACGCACATTTTTTACTGTTGATTTGTATCATGCTGACTGTTATCCAAGTGCAATGTTTAGTTTGTCAGAGGTTATTTGAGGCAGGTTGACACACATACGCTTAGATTTTAGTGTTGTTTAGAGGTTTCTAAGATTATTTCCAGAGCAGTTTGTGTGTAAGAGTTTGCCTGATTTAAATTCCTAATGGTGGAGTGTAAATAATTAAGTCAAGTACGCCATAAAGCTGATTCTGACTTTCAAACCAATCAGACTGCAGTCTGATAGAGTTCAAAAGGAGTGGAGCAAAAGTCAATTAAAAATAGACTTACAGTTTTAATTCCTACAATTCTGACTCAAAGTCCAAAGATCACTTTTTAAAACAGCCATTTTAAGCTTGGCACACCCACTTCTAACATTACTTATTATTCTGTGTAACCAGTTGCCTCATCACCTGTTTCTATGTTTACTTTGGGGTCATGTTTTTGTCTTCCCAGGTGAAGCACATTTAGATTAAAAAAGACAAAATAAAAGAAGAAACAGCTACTGTTGTGTCCACAGGGGTGCAAAACCATCACAAATCAAATGTTTCATATAGGAACTAAAATATTACATGGCATTCAATCACAACCGGCAGAAATAAGCAGCCGTACATTTAACAAGAGTGTCATCAAGAGATTTAAGTTTGAGTCAAATCTGGGCTTAAAAAATAAAAATATAAACCAAATCAAATTCAATCTTGAGACACTGAGATAAAGTTTCCTCACTGTTAATATTTGCTGTTGGACCAGATCCAGCTGCCATAGAACAGCAGCAGAGCGTCAATCTTGTCAAAAATCACCAGGTATGTAACAGTAAAAGACAGAGTTCTTCTCTGCATTCTAATAAAGGGACACACACACACAAACCTTTCTTACCTTTCATGTTCTTTAAACAGTCTTCTGTCAAACTCAGGGAAGAAAACGTCACAGTCAAAGTCAGCCATGACGTCTGTGAGGTAAATCAGGTCACACCACGGGTGCTTCAGTGCCTCCTGATGACAAACAAGATAAACACAACCAGGTCACATGAACAGGATCTGCTTTTATCTGTGTGTGGTGTTCAATATTTTCAATCCCACTAGGACGACTAAATGTAATAAAGCTCATAAACTCACACCAAAATAGATTGTTAAAGTGTGTATTTTTCATGGAGTACTCTTTTGCTCTATTTGATTTGTATTTATGACAGTGACTTTGTGTATTTGCTTTATGGCACATCGGGTCAGACTGAGCGGCATGTTTCTTACTCTGCATAACTTTCTGAGGTAAATTTATCATTGGGTACAGTAAAGCTTATGTGTGGTGCTCCTTGAGTCCAAAAACCAAATTTTTATTATTATTATTATTATTATTATTGTTGTTATTATCTTTTTTAAATGGTGCAAAATGTACACTTTCATAAAATAACTTTCTTTTCCTTCTTTACCAAAGGCAAATCTTAGGAAATAAAATTCACCTAACCAAAACAATTTAAAGGAAATACTTATCCACTCAAATACACTTGTGTATCTACTGTATATACGTACAGCTAAACATTCACATTTATATACAAACATAAACTTTCACTGTCAAATATAATAACAAATCATCCGCATAGAGTGATAGCTTATTATTAAATACAACGTCTTTTACACCAATGTCATCTCTAATGAACCGAGCTAGTGGTTCAATACTAATAACAAATAAAAGGGGCGATAGAGATCTCTCTGACTTATAGCTATGACTCTCACAGCAGCCTCTGGGCATGAATAGAGTGTTTATAAACTCTGGTCCAAATCTGAATTGTTTTAATGTCTGAAATAAAAATTGCCATGATACTTTCTGGGCATCTAAAGATAAAGCCATTTACTTAAATTTCTTCTCACTTTGATGTAATGTTATGTTTGCTTTCCTACATAAAATATCTCTGTAGTATTTTCCTGAAATAAATCCAGTCTGATCTAGGTGGACAAATTGAGTGATAATGTGGTTAACTCATCTAGCCAAGATTCCTGTTAAAATACGCAAATCTACATTCAACAGTGAAACTGGTCTGCAAGACTGACACGACTGCCAATGTTGGGAACCGGAAAAAATGTCTTACTCCATATCCTGCTCATTAGCGCCTCTAAAAGTAAATATTTTAACTTGTGCATCCAAGATAATTAGTCTATCCCCACAGGATAATTAGATCTCACACACGTTTTTTTTCTTGTTTGCATGAAATACAAAAATTGAATTTTTGTGTGTTTTGTGTTCACCTTGTAGACTTGTGTCCCTCCAACAACCCAGATGGTCTCGATCAGATCAGCAAGGGGGGGTCGAACAGCAAGGAGGATGGCTGTCTCGAAGTTCTGACACAGGAAGTGGGCGTGGTCTGGAACTGTGCTGTGAGAGGAGAAATGCTTGTGGTGAATTAGGTCGTGTTCACACCTAAAGGTCCATTGCCTGATTCGAATCCAAGGCAAGACAAAACATTTGTTTTGAATATCGTTCGGTTATTGGTCATCACATGCCTTTCCTGTGATTGGTGTAGATGACATTCACACCAGAAATGAACCGCTCCAGATTTCACTTGATAGCGGTCCAAGACCACCTCTTCAGGCGGACCAGAGTTTGTTTATTTGATCCACACCAGAGTTCGAGGTCAGTGTTCACATCGACTCAAATGATCTGCACCAAGGGGGTAAAAGCTCCAGGGTTCAGTCCAAACAGACTAAATGAGGGTGGTGTGAACGCACCCTTACAGTGAAAACATGGGATGGGTTTGTGTCGAATCTGTGAAAACAGTGTGTGTTTGTGTGTGTAGCTGAGTGTTACTCACTTGAGTGTCTTACTCAGCACCACATGCAGGTTATTGGCCACTGGGAACATAGTTTCTGGGTTTGAGTACCAGCACAGTTTACCCCAAACCAGCAGGTTCATCTTCCCTGAAAAAGTTCAAATAAAAACCTCTTAGACAGAAAGCGTTTTATCTTAACAGTGGGCACAGAATACAGGACTGGGTTTCAGGACCTTTACAGTCTGTATCAAAGAAATGAGATTAAATTAACTGAGGGAAAGAATGAATAAACTCTATTCATATTTCTTATATTTTTTAAAGGGCCAATATAATATCAAACGTGTTTTGCCTTGCCAAAATGTATATGCTTTTGTCATCCCCCTGAGAATAAGGAAGTCAAAGACTTTTGCATTGTCTTTGAAAACAGTGCTCCTCCACAGTAATATGAATTTGCTCCTGCAGTGATGTAACAGGCGTGATTTGCATAAGCACGCATGCAAAACCTCTACCACATATCAATCTGTTCGGTTTTGCATCTGTGTTGCAGAGTCAAGATGTCAAATGATAAAGCTGGGCATGCAAACTGCTCTGTTGTTGGTTTCAAAAACAACACAAATGTCTATATTTGGTTCTGGTACTGAATAAAACCAAAGAACACAATGGCTGCTTTTTATTGTTAACAACACTCAGTGCACAACTTTCAATCTGGACTGCTTCAACGACAAAAACCGACCAAAAAGTTGCACCAAAAGCCATGAAAGAAGGAATTAACCTCAAATGTTAAGGAGCTGCTCAAAGACAAGCAGCTGCAGCTCTTGAACAATGACATCGCCCTGTTTTGGTGTAGTATACTGATGCAGGTTCTTCTGGGGGGCTCGCCATATTCGATTTGGTGGTTTTCTGCCTCTGCATTGAGGCTGTAACCAGTCTGTATCCTCATCCCTCAAACAAATCAGCACAACACCTCATTATCATAGCATCCCTGCCCATTTAGATCACTGCATTGATGATGAGATTAGAAAGTGAGAGGATGAATTCAACTAGGACAAAAATACTTTAACATGAGACTTTTAATGCCTTTATCTTGTATGTGACCAAATGCAACCAACCTGAATACCCTCCCAGGAATGTCTGATTGTGATGCTGACCAAGCAGTGTGTGTACATCAAAATATCACCAAACTCTACTTCCAAAGTTTGGCATGAAGACCTTTTAGCTCTTAGTGGTAAAATAAAGGCTCAAGTTTGGACCCACAATCTTAAAAAAAATAAAAAAACATACAGGATGACTTATTAATACTGGGCTTATTTACCTGGTTTGGAGACCTGTGTGATTGTGTTGAGAAAATACTGGAACTCTGATCTGCAAGAGACACATTAACAACAAATCAGGCAGTTTTGGAGAGAGGTACTCCCAACTAGGTATTTCCTATGGTGGTTCTAGCCCCAGTGAAGTGACCCACTGGTTTCTAAAAGAGCTCATGAAGCCATATTGGGAATAATGACACCAAGTTACCTTCACTTAGTCAGACATGTACAGAGACAAGGCTAAAGTGGTCTTGACCCATGCTAATTTATCCATAACTTTTAGTCTTGATAGACTTATAATTGATATGCTTACTCATTCATTGCTTCTCATTCAAATGTAGAACATAAATGAGCTCTGGGGATCAAAACTGTTGCTTTCCTTTGTAACCAGGTTTTACATATGTTTATTTCTGCTGTCAAGTTAGACAATTTATCTGCACATAAATTCCTGTGGATTATCTATGTGGAAAAAAAGTAGTTTTTTTGGGACAGCAACACAAACTTGATTGCTTTCATTCTGCAGAGATGGGAAGGCATGGTTTCTGATTGGACCCTTTACAGGTAGGCTGAATTAAGATAAATTCTCTGATTGGTCTGAAGATATGATCTGGATCCAATCCTTAAAAACAAAGGTAATCTGTGATCAATTATGCCCAAAATTATTTACAATAACAAAAATGTGTGTTTACTGTTGTTATTTTTGAAGCGTCAAAACTTTAAACTCAGCACACCTCTGAAATACATAATTTTTCAGTGTTTCTGAGAAATAAAGGTTCAAGAAGCATGTGCTAATAATGTAAAATCATCTTAATATCCACCTACCAACATGCAAAGTTAAGGGTTCAAACGAAACAAAGAGCCGTTAGAAAGTCAAACAGAGCTGAGTAAAAAAGTTCCAATCACTGTAATGATCCGAACTCCTCATCACCGCCAGTTACAGCTGTTGCGCATCTGTGTCAGTGTACCGTCTCAATGGAGGTTAAGGTCTGTCTTTCGTCATTTTAATTCAGTGTTTTCTGTTAAAATAAGTCTACATAAACCGTCATTTTTAATAAATAAAGAAATTTAAATCAATCCTCAGCTGCTGGTATGAGTCTTACGGTAAATGCCAGGGCAGCTTCCCGTCCTTCCCGATCCCCATGCCTCTGCAGGCTGCAGCGATGAGGCGGACCGGCTTCTTCTGCACTTTGTCCCGGCTCGTGTCCATCTCCTGCACGCGGTCAATCAGCGGCCTTAGTGGACGCACGCGACCACGGTCTTCGGCCAGAACTATTTATCGAGCCCCGACTTCTCTGTCACCGCCCACCGGCTCGCAGCTGTGATTGGACACGGTGAACCTCTCTCTGCATCCTGGAACGGTTTAAGGCTTTCCCGGCAGCGTGACGCGTCCACGAAGGCCTGTCCACACCCATTATTCAATCAATAATTACCCAAAGACTGTTTAAAGGCTGCAGCACACCCCCTAAATTTTAAGTGATTTTTTTTTAAGCATTTGTTTTTCCAACAGTCTATGTTTAATAAGCTGAGGAAATGTCGAAAACATATACAGGATAGGGTTAAAACGTAATATTTTAACAACAAAAATCAAGCAGCACCCTCATGCTTCGAAAATGGTTCGACCCCTACCTTTCCTTCTCTCTCGCTCTGAGCGCTTCACTCACGATGAGATTTCTCAGTGTGACGTGTAAGTACCATAGACTGTATACACTATGGACAACTTGGTTCTGCCTCCCGCCAGTATACAGATTTGAAGCCAAAAAGCCCTCGGTATTGATTTTTCCTTATTTCCTGAAAACAGTGCTGCACAATAGCGTTGTGCGCATTCGGCAGGAGAGTCGCCGAGAGTCGCTGTGATGCATATCCCACCAAGTGAGCTACGCAATCCCTGAATGCCAATAGGCTGTATCAGGTGTCAATCAAAGAAAACATGAACCCCCTAATAACTTTAAAAATTGAGCTGCACAGAAAACCAACCCTCCTCCTTTATCCGGGCTTGGGACCAGCAAAATTGACCCATCTGAGACAATTTGGCGGAGTTACTGAGGTTTTTCTTTTTTTCCTTTTTTTTTAAGGTTTTGTATCATGCACTGTTGGGAGAAACCAGAGCACCTGGAAAAAACCCTGATGTGCGGCCTGTGTGTGTTTAATTACACCATAGAGTCTGGGAGCCTCTTACCCAAAAAGCCAAAAATTTCTCGGTATTTCCGGGATTTTTCTTCATTTCCTGAAACCAGCGCTGTGCAGTAGCGTTGTGCGCATTCGGCCGTGCATTCGCAGAGAGTCACTGTGATGTTGCTCGGCTCACACAGCGTATCCCCCGGGAGAGCTACTCAATCCCTGAACGCCCATAGGCTGTATCAGGTGTCAATCATAGCAAACGTGAACCCCCAAATAACTTTTAAAAACGGAGCTTCACAGAAAAAAAGAGGACTTGAGCACAAACCAGTTACAATAACTACATGTCAACATCGCAAGCAGGGGGGAGAAAAAGTTATGTTCTGTGTAATAAATTTCTAAAGTTGGTCCACAGCCCCATAAGCTTTGCTGGCGGAGGCGGGATTTATGACCTATAATGCAGCCCATCAACAGAGGGTGCTGTTCTCGGAGTGGCTTCACCCAGGGGAGGCAGGAGGCAAGGAGGCAGACGGCGTCCATTCTGTATACAGTCTATGATCCAAACTGTCAAGACTGTGGTAGTTGATCGGAGGCAGGAATCCTGATTCTTGTTCAAACTTCTCTGGTGTCTTCAGTCTGCAGTGCCGTGGGGCAGCATCTTGTGGAGTAAAAAAGTACACACCAAGATACCACATGTCCACAGCCTCATCATAAGGAAGCTGCATTAGTACTCCCTTGTTTCCCTCAGTAGTTGGGCAGCTCCTCCCCTACTCTGGCACCTCCAGAATGTACACACCTGCATCTCATCTCCAATCACTGTGCCCTCTTAAGCACTACTGTGAGGCTCCTCAGCGTCAGATGATTTCAGCTTATCTTGAGTATCAGACCGACAACTACGAGTATCAAAAGTTTGTATATTCTCGCTACTTGTGCATTTTACCTGTGCTTACCCCTGCTCTCCTCTTTTCTCCTTCAGTGCCTCCTCGAGCCCGTTCCTCCGAGCCCCAACCTCTGCCATGCTGCCAACACTCTCACACCGGAGCACTCACCTACCTCCATATCGCTCACTTGCACCTCAGAGTCTCCCAGCACCCCGGACCTTGGATTACCTCCCTTTCTTCACCACTACTAACAATAAACCTTTCAAAACTTCCTCTGCCTCGGATTTGCTTCTGGGTTCAACTTTAAAAACACTGATTAGGAAATCATTACACTATATACACTCTTTCCATCACTATACTGAATAAACCATCGTAATATACAATTAATATACTCGATACTTCAATATCCAACTATCATCAAGTGCTTTTTGATGTACAGATGTGCAAATGCTAATAGATGTACATATGCACAAGTATGTCCTTGTCAAGGCCACTTACTCACGTTTATGATGTTAGGAAAACAAAACACATCAGCATCAGTATAATCTAGCAAAATTGATTTACTACATAGAAAGGGAGGGAATAATCCTTTATTTTCACAAAAAACAAATAAGCAACAACTTTCAATGCATTCAATACAGATTAAGCAATGCTTATTCATAGAATATAAAGTCATGATACATCATGTTAGCAGAACACAGTAATCACAACTGCAAGTGAGGCTAGATCTGTGATTAGGGCCTTGTAGTTGAAACTTTTGGTACATAAGAGTGAATTTATGTTGTCATAATCATGACATGGAATCTGTCATTAACATGAATAAGGCTTATGAAGGTTGTTGTAGCTGCCATCAAGGTCAGAATAAATAGATTAATAAATATTAAGTTAAAAAGATTAAGTTCATAAATATATACATTTCTACTGACAATAGTTTAATATTAAAAGCAACATTGAATTTATTTCAGGTATTTTTTGTTTGGTTTTGATATGGTTTCAAGTCTTAATTGAGGGGGAACCAAAGTTACTGTCACAGGTTGGCGGAGTGTTACTTTGAAGATCGCTACGTTTTGATTGGTAACGTGCATCAGATATCATTCTGGATCAAGCTAGCAGCAGGCAGACACCTAGCTAATTGCTCTGCCTAAGAACAGCTAATGTTGAAGATGTTGTAAAGTGCATAGTGCATCGAAAGACTGAAGGAAGATTTCTAATTTTCTCTCAAAGGAAAGCGGCCAATGAGGTACATTTTGTGTTTGTATACTGTTATTTTGGTAAACTTTAAGGATCTAATGTGACGGATTTCTGTCGAGTCACGTTGTTTCTTTGATGTCTTTACATGTAAGTAATGTGTTTTTTTATTTGCTTTCTGTCTGTAATGTCTGACAGTTCTCACGGCACACTATCATGCTCATCGTGTGATTAAAACCTGTAACATAAAGAACGACCTGGTTTCGTGATTTCGACTTGAGAGGGAATTACAGTTGTCATTAGGTGTCATTCGGTAAATTCTGACACCTTTGGTGCTATGTTGACAACAACATATGTTTTAACACAAACTCAGAATTGAATAGTTTTACCATTTTACAGTGGCCCACTTCCATGTCTGTACAGTTCAGCTCATCTCCTGTGAAATGTGCGCAAATACACGTAAGCAGTGCCAAAGACCACCTCTTAAAAGTGGATACAGTACTCATACTCGAGTGCGATTCTGTTCAAACTGATCAAATACATAGAACTTTGGAGTCAAGTAAATACAGGCCCTAGTCCTTTATGTGAAACCACTCTAACAGTGAAAATATCTGTAAGAAACAAAATATGGTGAGCACGGACTTTTTCTTTGTTTTGGTTGGCTGGAGTCTGCCCTTTTGGGCGGATATGTCTTGCTGTCTATCACCTGCTTGAAGAGGCTGCTCCCTTCCCCCTTGCGGCGCTGAGGCTGATCACACACACCTGTGCTCCACAATCCGGCTTTAAGACCACTTCAGACTCATGCCTAAGCGCCAGAGTATTTTCGCCTATACGCAGCGGTGCTTGGCTACAGAACACAATTGAGATATCGTAACCTACATTTGAAGATTTTTCCAGTGCCTGCTTTTTCTGGTTTTAACCCTCACTCCTCCAGCCAGCCAGCCACTGAGCACCTGGACATCTCCCGGACCCTGTCTCCTTCACCTGGAAAAGCACTAACTTCAATAAACCTGTTTTGCCCCCCACCCCCGTCTGGTGTTGCATTCTGGTTCCATCTCAACACTCAGCCAACACACAAAACATGTTAACTATGAATAATTATGAAGTTTTAAGTCAACAACATCAGTCAAAAAAGATTGTTTTCTGCACAACAGCACCTCTCCTCCTACCAGTGCAATATTGATTGGCAACTATTACCTAAAAAAATGCATATGGCGCATGGTTTGTCCATTCTGTGCTACCATAGACACATGGTGGTCCAAAATATGGCCTACAAAAATGCACAAAAAACATAATTCAGTTAAAACTGTATAATCTAGATCAGATAATTCTCCCTCTGGGGAGAGCTGGTTCCAGAGCCCACACTACGTGTTGAGGTGATTCCGACTATATCTTGATGGAACCTTTCCACCTCGCACACCAATTCAGGCTACTTTCCCACCAGGGAGGTGACATTCCATGTCCCCAGAACTAGACTCTGCAGCCGAGGATCAGACTGCCAAGGGTCCACCTTCAGCTGCAGCCCAACTCACATTGCACCCAACTCCTTTGGCCCCTGCTATATGGGTGGTGAGCCCAAGGGAAGGGGGTCCCACGTTGCCTCTTTTGGCTGTGCCCAGCCGGCCCCATGGGTGCAGGCCCAGCCACCAGGTGCACGCCATCACCTGGGTGGCTCAGTAACCCGTGTGAGGAAAACTGGATACTAAATATTTTACTCATCAAAAAAGGTCTATTTGAGCTACCCTTAGTCTGATCCCTCCCCCAGGACATGTTTGCCATGGTTGAACCTACCAGAAGCATAAAGCCCCGACAACTTAGCTCCTGGGATCATCAGGACACACAAACCCCTCCACCACGGTAAGGTGGTAGCTCGAGGAGGGGAATTAAAACCCTCCCATGGGAGGGAAAAACCACAAGGGTTTTTTTATTTATTTTTTTTTTTTTGTTGAAAGAATGTGGGAGGAAACCGGAGCACCCGGAGTAAACCCACACAGACACAGGGAGAACATGCAAACTCCACACAGAAACACCCTGACCCGGATCCAAACACAGGACGTTCTAGTCATCCCTAGGCGGGAGACAACAACACATGGCCCTGAAGACTCTGCCAAAGAAACGTCTGACCCGTCTTAGTGGGCCACCTCTCCTTCTCACAGATGGACCTATTACAAGTTGAGGATCAGAGTCAAACCTCACTAGCTCACTTGTGTTGAAAACATCCTCCTCGGACAGGTTAATGCTGGTAAGAGCTGGATCTTCTACAGCTGAGCTGCTTATAGCTGCTTCAGCTTTAGCTGGTTCTTCTTGTTTGTCTTCCACAGCAGCTGGACTAAGATGATTCTCCTCTGAGATGATGGTAAGAGCTGGATCTTCTTCAGCTGAGCTGCTTATAGCCACTTCAGCTTCAGCTGGCTCTTCTTGTTTGTCTTCCACAGCAGCTGGACTAAGATGATTCTCCTCTGAGATGATGGTAAGAGCTGGATCTTCTTCAGCTGAGCTGCTTATAGCTGCTTCAGCTTCAGCTGGTTCTTCTTGTTTGTCTTCCACAGCAGCTGGACTAAGATGATTCTCCGCTGAGATGATGGTAAGAGCTGGATCTTCTACAGCTGAGCTGCTTATAGCCACTTCAGCTTCAGCTGGTTCTTCTTGTTTGTCTTCCACAGCAGCTGGACTAAGATGATTCTCCTCTGACCTGTTCCTGTAAGTGATGACCATTTTGTCCCTGGCGTCTTCCAGGTACTGGCTGCCAGCATTCTCCTGCAGGTGGACCATTGTGATAAATGGATGACTTAGAGCCTGCTTGGGGCTAATCCTCTTCTCTGGGTCAGTGTTTAGGAGACCCTTCAGGAGGCTTACAAAGGCTCTGCGGTCCTTGATCTCAATGGACCCATGGTTCTCTGGGTTAAGTGTGACCAGGTCTTCCAGAGAATTTACACTCAGTTTGCAGGGTTCAGGTTCAAGACCAGTTTTTGTCTGGTTTTTCACCAACCATTTGGGCTGGTCTCTCTGGTTAACCAACATAACATTGTCAAGCTTTAGGTCAGTATGTATGATCCCAATGTCTCCCATGGCATCAAAGGCTGATAGAAGTTGCTGGGTGATTGGACGAATCTCATGAAGAGAGAATGGCGCGTCATTTTCATTCAATAGATCCAAAAGATTTTTGTCCAGCATTTCAAAGGCTACAAAAAGATAAGACAAAAAAAAAAAAGGATTTGATGAGATAGAACAAGGTAAGAGTAATACTAAAGAGCATTAAAATACATGAATTATAAAACGACCACTGCTAAATCTGAAATATTTACAAATGTTTTTCTTTTGTTTCTAACCAAAAAAAGTAATGCCTTTGTAAAGTATTTTAGACCAAATGAGTACTTCTGAATATCAAAGTTTAAATACAATGGTACCCAGTGTTTGGTCTGAAATTAGACCTGATATTTTACAAGATGTTTTTAGTGCAGTAAACGTATAACTTTTTACCACATATCTCTGATATCCAAAGAAATACTTTCATTCAACAGTAAAACAGAATGATGAAATGGAATATAATCTACATACCTAGACAGGTGTGTCCATTGTGCTCGAATGTCTCAAAGAACTGCACAATATTAGACTTGTCAGCGTCTAGAGTCCTAAGAGTTTGCAGTATCTCAATCTCGTTCGCAATGAGTTCTTTGTCTTCGTTGTTCATGATCTTCAGGGCGACTGACTCCCTTGTGATGATATTTTTTGCTTTGACAACTTTACCAAAAGCTCCGCTGTCGATGAACATCGAAACGCAGTATTGACCGAAGTCACCATTCAGGATTTCTCCTGGTTCAATATCATCAGCTTCAGCTGGTACTTGTTGTTTGTCTTCCACAGCAGCTGGACTAAGATGATTCTCCTCTGACCTGTTCCTGTAAGTGATGACCATTTTGTCCCTGGCGTCTTCCAGGTACTGGCTGCCAGCATTCTCCTGCAGGTGGACCATTGTGATAAATGGATGACTTAGAGCCTGCTTGGGGCTAATCCTCTTCTCTGGGTCAGTGTTTAGGAGACCCTTCAGGAGGCTCACAAAGGCTCTGCGGTCCTCGATCTCAATGGACCCATGGTTCTCTGGGTTAAGTGTGACCAGGTCTTCCAGAGAATTTACACTCAGTTTGCAGGGTTCAGGTTCAAGACCAGTTTTTGTCTGGTTTTTCGCCAACCATTTGGGGTGTTCTGAGAATGGGTTCTTTACAAAGTAGTGTGTTGTGAATTTTCCAGCATTGAGGAGGTGATCAGCTGGCTGACCCATGATGGCTACGATGTTCTCCATGGTCCCAATCTCACTGAAGTCATTACCAAATGGGTTTTCAAAGTGAAACATTGTGAACAGAAGACACCCCAGAGCCCACATGTCTATTGCCTCTGAGGAGGGGAGGCCCAGGAAAAGTTCCGGAGCTCTGTAAGGAACTATCGGAATTCCCAAACCGTCGTCCACCTCAGAGGTCTTAACGGACAGACCGAAGTCTATCAGTTTCACTCTGAAAGGCTGGTCTCTCTGGTTAACCAACATAACATTGTTAAGCTTTAGGTCAGTGTATATGATCCCGATGTCTGCCAGGGCATCAAAGGCCGACAGAAGTTGCTGGGTGATTGGACGAATCTCATGAAGAGAGAATGGCGTGTCATTTTCATTCAATAGATCCAAAAGATTTTTGTCCAGCATTTCAAAGGCTACAAAAAGATAAGACAAAAAAAAGACAGGATTTGATGAGATAGAACAAGGTAAGAGTAATACTAAAGAGCATTAAAATACATGAATTATAAAAAGACCACTGCTAAATCTGAAATATTTACAAATGTTTTTCTTTTGTTTCTAACCAAAAAAAGTAATGCCTTTGTAAAGTATTTTAGACCAAATGAGTACTTTCTGAATATCAAGGTTTAAATACAATGGTACCCAGTGTTTGGTCTGAAATTAGACCTGATATTTTACAAGATGTTTTTAGTGCAGTAAACGTATAACTTTTTACCACATATCTCTGATATCCAAAGAAATACTTTCATTCAACAGTAAAACAGAATGATGAAATGGAATATAATCTACATACCTAGACAGGTGTGTCCATTGTGCTCGAACGTCTCAAAGAACTGCACAATGTTAGACTCATCAGCGTCTAGAGTCCTAAGAGTTTGCAGTATCTCAATCTCGTTCGCAATGACGTCTTCTTCTTCGTTGTTGATGATCTTCAGGGCGACCGACTGCCTTGTGATGACATTTTTTGCTTTGACAACTTTACCAAAAGCCCCGCTGTCGATGAACATCGAAACGCAGTATTGACCGAAGTCACCATTCAGTATTTCTCCTGGTTCAATATCATCAGCTTCAGCTGGTACTTGTTGTTTGTCTTCCACAGCAGCTGGACTAAGATGATTCTCCTCTGAGATGATGGTAAGAGCTGGATCTTCTACAGCTGAGCTGCTTATAGATGCTTCAGCTTCAGCTGGTTCTTCTTGTTTGTCTTCCACAGCAGCTGGACTAAGATGATTCTCCTCTGACCTGTTCCTGTAAGTGATGACCATTTTGTCCCTGGCGTCTTCCAGGTACTGGCCGTCAGCATTCTCCTGCAGGTGGACCATTGTGATAAATGGATGACTTAGAGCCTGCTTGGGGCTAATCCTCTTCTCTGGGTCAGTGTTTAGGAGACCCTTCAGGAGGCTTACAAAGGCTCTGCGGTCCTCGATCTCAATGGACCCATGGTTCTCTGGGTTAAGTGTGACCAGGTCTTCCAGAGAATTTACACTCAGTTTGCAGGGTTCAGGTTCAAGACCAGTTTTTGTCTGGTTTTTCACCAACCATTTGGGGTGTTCTGAGAATGGGTTCTTTACAAAGTAGTGTGTCGTGAATTTTCCAGCATTGAGGAGGTGATCAGCTGGCTGACCCATGATGGCTACAATGTTCTCCATGGTCCCAATCTCACTGAAGTCATTACCAAATGGGTTTTCAAAGTGAAACATTGTGAACAGAAGACACCCCAGAGCCCACATGTCTATTGCCTCTGAGGAGGGGAGGCCCAGGAACAGTTCCGGAGCTCTGTAAGGAACTATCGGAATTCCCAAACCGTCGTCCGCCTTAGAGGTCTTAACGGACAGACCGAAGTCTATCAGTTTCACTCTGAAAGGCTGGTCTCTCTGGTTAACCAACATAACATTGTCAAGCTTTAGGTCAGTGTATATGATCCCGATGTCTGCCAGGGCATCAAAGGCTGATAGAAGTTGCTGGGTGATTGGACGAATCTCATGAAGAGAGAATGGCGTGTCGTTTTCATTCAATAGATCCAAAAGATTTTTGTCCAGCATTTCAAAGGCTACAAAAAGATAAGACAAAAAAAAGACAGGATTTGATGACATAAAACAAGGTAAGAGTAATACTAAAGAGCATTAAAATACATGAATTATAAAACGACCACTGCTAAATCTGAAATATTTACAAATGTTTTTCTTTTGTTTCTAACCAAAAAAAGTTATGCCTTTGTAAAGTATTTTAGACCAAATGAGTACTTTCTGAATATCAAGGTTTAAATACAATGGTACCCAGTGTTTGGTCTGAAATTAGACCTGATATTTTACAAGATGTTTTTAGTGCAGTAAACGTATAACTTTTTACCACATATCTCTGATATCCAAAGAAATACTTTCATTCAACAGTAAAACAGAATGGTGAAATGGAATATAATCTACATACCTAGACAGGTGTGTCCATTGTGCTCGAACGTCTCAAAGAACTGCACAATGTTAGACTCATCAGCGTCTAGAGTCCTAAGAGTTTGCAGTATCTCAATCTCGTTCGCAATGACGTCTTCTTCTTCGTTGTTCATGATCTTCAGGGCGACTGAATCCCTTGTGATGATATTTTTTGCTTTGACAACTTTACCAAAAGATCCACTGTCAATGAACTTTGAAATGCAGTATTGACCGGAGTCACCATTTAGTATTTCTTCTGGTTCAATATCATCAGCTTCAGCTGGTACTTCTTGTTTGTCTTCCACAGCAGCTGGACTAAGATGATTCTCCTCTGACCTGTTCCTGTAAGTGATGACCATTTTGTCCCTGGCGTCTTCCAGGTACTGGCCGTCAGCATTCTCCTGCAGGTGGACCATGGTGATAAATGGATGACTTAGAGCCTGCTTGGGGCTAATCCTCTTCTCTGGGTCAGTGTTTAGGAGACCCTTCAGGAGGCTCACAAAGGCTCTGCGGTCCTCGATCTCAATGGACCGATGGTTCTCTAGGTTAAGTGTGACCAGGTCCTCCAGAGAATTTACACTTAGTGTGGTTTCAGGTTCAAGACCAGTTTTTGTCTGGTTTTTCACCAACCATTTGGAGTGTTCTGAGGATGGGTTCTTTACAAAGTAGTCTGTTGTGAATATTCCAGCATCGAGGAGGTGATCAGCTGGCTGACCCATGATGGCTACGATGTCCTCCATGGTCCCAATCTCACTGAAGCCATCACCAAATGGGTTTTCAAAGTGAAACATTTCAAACAGAATACACCCCAGAGCCCACATGTCTATTGCCTCTGAGGAGGGGAGGCCCAGGAACAGTTCAGGAGCTCTGTAAGGGACTGTCGGCATTCCCAAACCGTCGTCCACCTCAGAGGTCTTAACGGACACACCGAAGTCTATAAGTTTGACTCTGAAAGGCTGGTCTCTCTGGTTAACCAACATAACATTGTCAAGCTTTAGGTCAGTGTATATGATCCCGATGTCTGCCAGGGCATCAAAGGCCGACAGAAGTTGCTGGGTGATTGGACGAATCTCATGAAGAGAGAATGGCATACGGTTTTCATTCAATTGATCCAAAAGACTTTTGTCCAGCATTTCAAAGGCTACAAAAAGATAAGACAAAAAAAAAGACAGGATTAGATGAGAAAAAACAAGGTAAGAGTAACACTAAAGAGCATTAAAATACATGAATTATAAAAAGTAAAATCTGCAAAATCTGAAATATTTTCTCTTTTATTTCTAACCAAAAAAAGTTATGCCTTTGTAAAGTATTTTAGACCAAATGAGTACTTTCTGAATATCTAGGTTTAAATACAATGGTATCCAGTGTTTGGTACTGAAATTAGACCTGATATTTTACAAGATGTTTTTAGTGCAGTAAACGTCCAACTTTTTACCACATATCTCTGATATCCAAAAAAATACTTTCATTCAACAGTAAAACAGAATGGTGAAATGGAATATAATCTACATACCTAGACAGGTGTGTCCATTGTGCTCAAACGTCTCAAAGAACTGCACAATATTAGACTTGTCAGCGTCTAGAGTCCTAAGAGTTTGCAGTATCTTAATCTCGTTCGCAATGACTTCTTTGTCTTCGTTGTTCATGATCTTCAGGGCGACTGACTCCCTTGTGATGATATTTTTTGCTTTGACAACTTTACCAAAAGTTCCACTGTCAATGAACTTTGAAATGCAGTATTGACCGGAGTCACCATTTAGTATTTCTTCTGGTTCAATATCATCAGCTTCAGCTGGTTCTTCTTGTTTGTCTTCCACAGCAGCTGAACTAAGATGATTCTCCTCTGACCTGTTCCTGTAAGTGATGACCATATTGTCCCTGGCGTCTTCCAGGTACTGGCCGTCAGCATTCTCCTGCAGGTGGACCTTGGTGATGAATGGATGACTTAGAGCCTGCTTGGGGCTAATCCTCTTCTCTGGGTCAGTGTTTAGGAGACCCTTCAGGAGGCTCACAAAGGCTCTGCAGTCCTCGATCTCAATGGACCGATGGTTCTCTAGGTTAAGTGTGACCAGATCCTCCAGAGAATTTACTCTCAGTTTGCAGGGTTCAGGTTCAAGACCAGTTTTTGTCTGGTTTTTCACCAACCATTTGGGGTGTTCTGAGAATGGGTTCTTTACAAAGTAGTGTGTTGTGAATTTTCCAGCATCGAGGAGGTGATCAGCTGGCTGACCCATGATGGCTACGATGTCCTCCATGGTCCCAATCTCACTGAAGCCATCACCAAATGGGTAGTCAAAGAGAAACATTTCAAACAGAATACACCCCAGAGCCCACATGTCTATTGCCTCTGAGGAGGGGAGGCCCAGGAACAGTTCAGGAGCTCTGTAAGGGACTGTCGGCATTCCCAAACTGTCGTCCACCTCAGAGGTCTTAACGGACACACCGAAGTCTATAAGTTTGACTCTGAAAGGCTGGTCTCTCTGGTTAACCAACATAACATTGTCAGGCTTTAGGTCAGTGTATATGATCCCGATGTATGCCAGGGCATCAAAGGCCGACAGAAGTTGCTGGGTGATTGGACGAATCTCATGAAGAGAGAATGGCATACGGTTTTCATTCAATTGATCCAAAAGACTTTTGTCCAGCATTTCAAAGGCTACAAAAAGATAAGACAAAAAAAAAGACAGGATTAGATGAGAAAAAACAAGGTAAGAGTAACACTAAAGAGCATTAAAATACATGAATTATAAAAAGTAAAATCTGCAAAATCTGAAATATTTTCTCTTTTATTTCTAACCAAAAAAAGTTATGCCTTTGTAAAGTATTTTAGACCAAATGAGTACTTTCTGAATATCTAGGTTTAAATACAATGGTATCCAGTGTTTGGTACTGAAATTAGACCTGATATTTTACAAGATGTTTTTAGTGCAGTAAACGTCCAACTTTTTACCACATATCTCTGATATCCAAAAAAATACTTTAATTCAACAGTAAAACAGAATGGTGAAATGGAATATAATCTACATACCTAGACAGGTGTGTCCATTGTGCTCGAACGTCTCAAAGAACTGCACAATGTTAGACTTGTCAGCGTCTAGAGTCCTAAGAGTTTGCAGTATCTTAATCTCGTTCGCAATGACTTCTTTGTCTTCGTTGTTCATGATCTTCAGGGCGACTGACTCCCTTGTGATGACATTTTTTGCTTTGACAACTTTAGCATAAGTTCCGCTGTCGATGAACTCCAAAATGAAGTATCGATTGGCGTCACCATTCAGTATTTCTCCTGGTTCAATGTCAATATCTGCATACACCTCATCCTGATAAACTGCTGCACAGCAGGCTTCGCTTGAATGAGACATTTTCGAGTCAAAGATAACTTTTACCACAAACAAAGTGCTGCTAATAAATCGCTCTAATTCTGGTTTCAATGTTGTGAATTAAGGTTAGAAGTTCTTTGGTACTTTGGACAACAAGGTTCTTGACACAGAGTCTGTTGTGAGACATCAAAGTTCCCATGACATCACTGAGGAACATAACAGAGCTGATGACATCACTGATGACATCAGCATCATCAATGATGCTGATGTCATCAGTGATGTCATCAGCTCTGTTTCCCAGCTGTTCTACAGCTGTTACCATGGCAACCAGTTTTAATGTGTGACCATTTTTAAATTTTGGATTGAGAGAAGAGTTAGTACAGAGAATTCCTTTTTTTGTATTCTAACTTTTTAAACTAAGTAAATATACTGAGAGTATTTTCAATTATTGTTATTTAGTTCTTTATTATTATTATTATTATTATTATTATTATTATTATTATTCCATACCCTTTTTAACCTTCCTTCTGTGTAAGCTTTTACTAAGCACCCACCATGTTAAAGGTCGGTTTTGACCTCAGCTGTAAGTTACACTAAAAACAATTTTCTGTCATCCAATTTGGTTCTCATCACTAGGTTAACTTGTTAGGCTTTATTATCCATGAAAATATTGCTTTTAATATTTTTTGTTTTGGGCCTCTGGGCGTTTCTTTGTCAGTATTTCCTAAACCTCACACGAATGGAAGAGGATCTGACTGTTAGTGCATTTATGATTTCAGTTTTTGCTCTTGTTACATACCAAAAGATGTAAAAGAGGACAAAGGTAGTAACAATAGTTAAAAAAAGAACTAAGGTGAAGAAACAGTGTCCAGGGTAATTAATGAAACAGAAAAGTTTTTTCTTGAGGTTAAACAACCAACTTAAAACAAGCACTAGGCTGAGAAAAACACCAATACAACACAAATGGTAAGCTAAAGTGACAAAAGAAAACAGCAAATGCACTGCAGGCTCCACTGCCACCTGCTCAGCCCAGCCACTACTGAACCACACCAGAGTCACACACTCTTTCAAAGAGGTCCACACAGGATCGCTGACAGGAGGGAATGAGAGAGAGAGACCACAGTACTCTCTTCTTTTATATAGTTTGCTGCTCATCAGCAGATCAGCCACACCTGCCACACCTCTACTGCAGTGGAAAAAACTTGCAGGTAGAGAGAGACACACAAAAACAGCACACAAACACAGAAAACAGCACACAAACACCCAGGGCATGCAACAACTCTAATTATGAGATATTGATCTAACCGGGTCAACAGCGACCCTAACATGACAAGTGCCATAATTTTCATGAGTATTTTCTAATTTAGTCAATTTAATTTTTTATTTTGTTGAAATAGAGGTTCCTGACAAAGTCAAAAAGTCTTGATGCGAAAAAAGCTCATGTAAGTGGGTCTTTTAAACATTTAAAATCAAAAACGGGTCAGTGCAGACCCTAACACAGGAGGAGGGTTAGGTGATAGCTCCCAAATGTTTCCCCTGTCTCAGTACAAATCCATGGGCATCTGCTGAGGCTGACTGCCAGAGCAGACCTGCTTCATGTGTCACTGTGTTTTTTCTTTACATGTCAACCTTTGGGGTTGTTTATTGAAAAATTATGAGCGGTGAAAGGAGCCATCCAGGGTAAGGATGTATATGATGAAACACAGATGTTTGAGCATCAGATCCTTGATGATGTCGGTTTGTAAAGTGAAGACAAGTGAGCTCTGCAAAGTGAGGAGCGCACCGACTGAGAGCTAATACACCTGATTAATGTCATGGGACTGCAATCTGTGGACAATGTGAGCCGTACTCCACCATAATCAGATATGCAGGTTAAACCAGGGAATTACACACTCATGTGTTGTCATGCTCTGTCAGAAACAGTCAGGCTTTAAAAACATGTCAGATGCAAAGACATGCATGGATTTAATGAGTTCCAATTGAACTTTTGCTTGGGATGAGGCTGGGGAAACAAGTTCTCATTACAAAAACAGTGGAGGAGAAATACCCGAGTGCTCGTCTTTGACGAGCTTCGCCGGTGTTGTGTCGTAGAATGCACCCCTGACGGGAGCGCGGTTGAAAGTACACAACAAGGCGAAACAATCCAAGTTTTTCTTACCGTTGGACAGAATCTAAAGCGTGTGCCTTTAATGATTTCATTCAGGCTATTCAGATATGCCGAAAACAATAGCCCTCTGATTCGGAATATTTACTGTCCTGAAAATATTATGTTCTCTACAGTAACAGCTTACTCTACAGTTTATATACCCAAGTACACTTTTATATGTGCATTTTTGAGACACATACAAACAAAACGAAAGTTTACTGCTCCATTTGACACGTTTTCATGATCTAATACCCGTGTTTTATTAAATATGAGATCATATTTCTTCCACTAAGAAGCTAATCAGTGGAGGGGAGGCATTCTACGGCAGGGGTGCATTCTACAGCACAACACCTGACTTCCGCTAACCAGTCAGGATCAGATAAGTGAAACAATAAATTACTTCTGTCCTCTGCTAACTTTGAAACGGTAAAGAAATTGAACTGTGTACGGTGAGTAAACTTAAATATCCACCTAACGTTAGCCCTTGTACTTTTTCATAGACAAACGACCTGAAAACAAAAATTGATATTTATATACTGGTTGAAAATAGCTCTGTGAGAAATTCATAGTAAAGTTCTTAAAAAGTTAATAGGATTTAAAAATTCATGGAGAAGTTCAGAAATTTCATCCAAAAAGAAGAGCCCCGGTTAGCACCCTCATTCAAACCATGCTTTTTTTTTCTTTTTTCTTTTTGATATCCTGCCTTTTAAAAGAATCGAATTAGAGAATCGATAGGAATCGGAATCGAAATGAGGAATCGAAATTGGAATCGGAATCGTTCAAAATCAAACGATACCCAACCCTAGTCATGTACCTAAAAAAAAATCTATTCTTTGTTGTTCTTGCAGGTATTCTTCTCCTTCTGTTCTTTTTCAGACAGCTGGGTACGGTGCAAACATACATTGATGCACACAAACATGAATGCTAGCCACGAATGGCTCCTGTTAACTATCAGGTAGCAGGTGAGGAGTCTGATAAGGAGGGATAAGTGGATTTAAATGTTCCAGCATTTCTAAGAGTTTTCAAAACCCTCTAATTCATTTTTATTTTTGAAACAATATTTCACTGAAGTTTCTTAAGGATTGAATCTCTTAGGGTTGTATCTGAGCTGGAACTGATTCACGATTGATCAAAAACAGGAATTGCATCTGTGGCATCCTCTTTAAATTACATTCAACGCCATACATTTATTTTTCTCAGTGAAATAAACTGAAACTAATAAGTGTGTGAAATAGTTATACAATTTATTATGCTAGCTAGTGAGTGTAGGTTAAATTCAGCCCCTGAAACCAAAACACGAGACCACATGTGTGAGCCCAGCTGACTGGACTTAAAGGCTAAGCTGATTGGATGCCCAGAAGTTTCTTGTGAAGGAGTCAGGCCTGAAGGCTGCTGCTTTGAATGTGCAGTAAAAATGCATGAAATCAGAAGTCTGGGCATTCACACAACATGACTACTTTTTATACAAGACAAATTAGTAAGACTTAAGATCACCTTAGCTGTTACACTCCAGGTAAAAATGATCTAATTCAATCCCAACTCTTGAGAATGCAAGATGGTATTTTACCAGCATTACAGCACCTTCAAAACAAGTTATTTTTAGCTTCATTTTTAAAGCACTTATGAAAAAAAATTAAAGGCAAAACCTCTAAGATGAGAGAAAATAATGATCCAACAAAAAAAAAAAAGCAATGGCACAGAATGCAAAAAGTAAGCTTGCTGCCCTCTGCTGGTCAAGTCTTTTAGAACACAACATCCGCATCAGTGCACTGTCTGGCGCAGCAGAAACTTCTGTTATTACAACAGGAAGTGTGCCCTCTGTAGGTGGGCTCACATGCCTTACTTAAAGTGAAGAATTTTGTCTCTTTTAGGGTTACAATTGCATCAAACCTGATTTCCAAAGCAGCATCTCATAGTTTCTTATTCAAGTAAAAAAAAAGGCACAGGTTTAGTTTAACTCCACAGTGGGATTACTTGCCTTTTGTAGCGATAGGAGGAATTCTTATAATTCAACCATTTTTTTCTCCTTTCTTGTAAGACAGGGGGAATCTAGAGCCTTTTACATTTAAATACAAACTAGAAATATAGTAGAAACACTGCGGTTTGCACTATTTGTTAGTCCCTGAAGACAAGTCTGAACTTAAAGACTACAGGTGCTCTCACTTGGCCCAGTTTCCTTGTACTGTGCTGGAATACAATTTTCCAACTCCCCAGTCTCTCACTGGTCTGTTCTCACACTGCTCCAGACTCTAACGAGCCTAGGCACAATTAGTGCAAGATGTGCAAAGTACAAGATGTGCTTCACAGTGATCAACAACACAGAGAACATGACTGAAAATTCACTGGCTTTGTGGTTTCGGGTGCACATCAGTGTTAAAAGCTATGGAGCTGTCTAAAACATGATGTTTTCATAGTTTGTGTAATGCATATGTTATATGACATAGGGAAAAATGATTCATTTTTAACGCTTCTTTGATGTTCCATCTATAAATAAAGCACAGTCTGCAGAGTCAGGTCTTGAGGGGTCATTAGAGGTCAAACGTCCCAGAGTGTGGTTAAGATTGCCTGGTGATGGTGCGCCCAAATAATAATGCCAGAATGCCAGAAGTTCAGACTTATAGGTGGTGAATGAGATGTAACAGGCATGTGGTATATCATCTCTATGAAGGCTTTGCATTTACCAGCTCACAGATCTTATCATTTCAAATGAATTCACTTTAGCAGAGAGTCAAACATCACATGTTGGCCATGCATTGGACTCATGTAACAGGTTGTGTCGCAATGCTTTTTTCAGGAACGAGGAGTGTATGGCCAGCCAAGACTTGGGAGAACAGGGACATGGTAATGTGTCCTGATTCGGTTTGAATTAAATTGATTGTAAAGGGTCAAGTTATGTGGGAGAAGTGGACAGATCAAATCTGTACCAAGTCTCAACAAAAAATGTTCCACTTAACCTTGTGGCCAAAAACAGTCAGTCTAATAAAAGTGCAGTAAAAACATTATACATTCATTTTTTTCTTTTACTTTAAAGCATCACATCTTGTCCACTACTTCAGATCTATCCATAGATATAAAGTTTATTATAATTTTTTTTTATTATTATTATTTTTTAGGTTTTTAGTCTTTTTTTGTCAAGAGAACCCCTGATTTTTTTAATGGGAAAAACACAAGATATGCAATATTTACAAAAATGAGGTGCAAAGTGAAATATTTTTGATAAAGATAAAACAGCCCTGACCATGTCAACAATTGATAAAAATATTGATTTTAATGCATAATTATATTTGCACAATGGTAGTTTTAGGTAAAAACTAACACTTGTTTAACAGCTGGTGTCAGCAGCTGTTTTTACAATTTCCTTATAAAATTCCCGTTTTATGAGGAATTTGACTGTAAAGGCAGCAGGATGAGAAGTTCCTTTGATTCTCTGTCTCGGTCTCTTAAAACTGAGTCAACGTCCTTCCACTTGAGTAAGAACCTACACGAGAATCAGAACCTGATGAGTAAAGTCTATATTCCAACAAACCTAAAGCCCTCTATGTTTGTGTGTTTGGAAACCCATTACTACTTTTGGCCACAAACTGGCAAATATCAGGAAATGCTGAGAAAGCAGTGACACAATTTTCAGCTTGTTTCGGTCATTTGGCTCCATCTAGTGGCTAAAAGCATCACATGCAACCACATACTTTAAGGCTTTTATTCACAAATGGACATAAAGTTACAGATCAAAATTCTTTTTTGTCTGTTATAAATGAAGACAAGATGTGTTTTTTCATTGAAAGATACAAAGACAAAACAGGATTTGGTCCACAATCAGGAACGTTTCTCACCACTTCTCAATATACCAGTGCAATCGGCTCAGGTCTGCTATGACTCACAGAAACAATCTGTCCCCGACTAACTAACAGCATTCTTACTGAGCAGCTACTTCATCACTGAGGAGGAGGAGGATGAAGGCTGAGGGTGGGAGAGGATTTTTGCTTTTAATAGAAACTGATAATAAAAGTCTAACCAGCTGCTGTGGCGGTGGGGAATTAATTCTGAGATTAGAAACATAAAAATGAAGAAGAGGACACTAGCAGCTGTTAAAGTGTCTGTGCTCACAGTGTTCGGAGTTTAAAGAGTTTAAGTTCATTTTTACAAAGTTTGGAAAAAGTCTAATGAGGAGGACAACTTTTTCATCATTTATACAGCATCAGCAGTCTCTTTTTTGAAAACCTGAAATCTGTATTTAATGCCGTTTTCCTCCTGGATTTTACTTGGCACTCCAGGGAATCTGTGTAAAAACAAGAAAATCAAAGTTAGAGTTTATTAAAAGGTACTTACAGTAGTACTTAAAGTATTTCAAAGTGTGTGAACAGAAAGGATATGTTTCAAAATACAAGGTCAAAATACACTTCAAATACATATTCTTAAGGACACACATTTTTTACTGTTGATTTGTATCATGCTGACTGTTATCCAAGTGCAATGTTTAGTTTGTTAGAGATTATTTGAGGCAGGTTGACACACATACGCTTAGATTTTAGTGTTGTTTAGAGGTTTCTAAGATTATTTCCAGAGCAGTTTGTGTGTAAGAGTTTGCCTGATTTAAATTCCTAATGGTGGAGTGTAAATAATTAAGTCAAGTACGCCATAAAGCTGATTCTGACTTTCAAACCAATCAGACTGCAGTCTGATAGAGTTCAAAAGGAGTGGAGCAAAAGTCAATTAAAACTAGACTTACAGTTTTAATTCCTACAATTCTGACTCAAAGTCCAAAGATCACTTTTTAAAACAGCCATTTTAAGCTTGGCACACCCACTTCTAACATTACTTATTATTCTGTGTAACCAGTTGCCTCATCACCTGTTTCTATGTTTACTTTGGGGTCATGTTTTTGTCTTCCCAGGTGAAGCACATTTAGATTAAAAAAGACAAAATAAAAGAAGAAACAGCTACTGTTGTGTCCACAGGGGTGCAAAACCATCACAAATCAAATGTTTCATATAGGAACTAAAATATTACATGGCATTCAATCACAACCGGCAGAAATAAGCAGCTGTACATTTAACAAGAGTGTCATCAAGAGATTTAAGTTTGAGTCAAATCTGGGCTTAAAAAATAAAAATATAAACCAAATCAAATTCAATCTTGAGACACTGAGATAAAGTTTCCTCACTGTTAATATTTACTGTTGGACCAGATCCAGCTGCCATAGAGCAGCAGCAGAGCGTCAATCTTGTCAAAAATCACCAGGTATGCAACAGTAAAAGACAGAGTTCTTCTCTGCATTCTAATAAAGGGACACACACACACAAACCTTTCTTACCTTTCCTGTTCTTTAAACAGTCTTCTGTCAAACTCAGGGAAGAAAACGTCACAGTCAAAGTCAGCCATGACGTCTGTGAGGTAAATCAGGTCACACCACGGGTGCTTCAGTGCCTCCTGATGACAAACAAGATAAACACAACCAGGTCACATGAACAGGATCTGTGGTGTTCAATATTTTCAATCCCACTAGGACGACTAAATGTAATAAAGCTCATAAACTCACACCAAAATAGATTATTAAAGTGTGTATTTTTCATGGAGTACTCTTTTGCTCTATTTGATTTGTATTTATGACAGTGACTTTGTGTATTTGCTTTATGGCACATCGGGTCACACTGAGCGGCAAGTTTCTTACTCTGCATAACTTTCTGAGGTAAATTTATCATTGGGTACAGTAAAGCTTATGTGTGGTGCTCCTTGAGTCCAAAAACCAAATTTTTACTATTATTATTATTGACAGCCCGGAAAGACGGCAACCGGGGCAGGAAGGGGTAGCATCCCAACTTGTTTCTTCCGTGAGGGAGAACCCTACCAAGCTACAGAACGACCTACTGAGAAATACCCCCAGGGGAACCCGAGAGGGGGGGAGGATGAGTTCCCCAACAGGACGGACACAACGTTGACGACTTTGGCAAACGGCTTATCGACGACGACAATCGCAAGATGCAAATGTGGCAAGGTTTGCAAGAACGCGCTCGGCCTAAAAATCCATCAAGGCCGAATGAAATGCTTGGTCCAGGAGAGTGCAACACAGCGCACAGGACGTAGTCCTGGTGAGACGACGGAGGAGCCCGGCCGGGAGACACCCCACAGAGCCCAGAACCTCCAAGTGCCTAGCTCTCCAGCTCATAGCAGAGTAGTTCAACAGCGTCGTATCAAGTGGCCTCCAGCAAACCAACACAAAGTGTGGCACCAGTTCGATGAGGATGTCACCACAATCATCGAATCAACAGCAAAGGGGGCTGTTGACAGACGGCTTCAGACCATGACCACCATCATTGTCACCTATGGAACGGAGAGGTACGGTGTGGAAGAGTGCAAATCCACCAGACCCAACTACACCTTGAACCGTAGAGCAGAAATGATCCATCAACTGCGGCAGGAGCTCCGGTCCCTGGCAAGACAGTACAAGGCAGCAACTGAGGAGGAGAAACCACCACTGGCAGAGCTCAGAAACATCATCAGGAAGAAACTCACAACCCTGCGCAGAGCTGAATGGCACAGGAGACGCAGGAGAGAGAGAGCCAGGAAGCGAACTGCTTTCATAGCGGATCCATTTGGATTCACCAAACAGCTTTTGGGGCAGAAGCGCAGTGGGCGTCTAGCCTGCTCCAAGGAGGAGGTAGACCACTTCCTGGAAAGCAACCTGAGCGACCCTGACAGAGAGCAAGCCCTAGGGCCCCTCAGTGCCTTATTGGACATACCATCTCCCACTGTCGACTTCAACACCTGCGAGCCCACCTGGAAGGAAATCCAGGAGGTGGTCGCTGCTGCCAGAGCCAGATCAGCTCCAGGACCCAGTGGCGTTCCTTACAAGGTGTACAAGCGCTGCCCTGGGCTCCTTAGAATCCTCTGGAAGATCCTGCGTGTGATCTGGCGCAGAGGAGCTGTGGCGGATCAGTGGAGGCAGGCGGAGGGTGTCTGGATACCCAAGGAAGAGAATTCCACCAAGCTGGAGCAATTCAGAACCATCTCGCTTCTCAGCGTCGAGGGGAAGATTTTCTTCAGCATCCTTTCCAGAGGGTTGACAGACTTTCTCCTAAAGAATGCCTACGTTGACACCTCTGTCCAGAAAGGTGGTATCCCCGGTGTGCCAGGATGCCTAGAACACACTGGAGTTGTCACCCAGCTGATCAGGGAGGCGCGGGAGGGCAAGGGAGACCTCGTCGTGCTCTGGCTGGACCTGGCCAATGCCTTCGGCTCCATACCCCACAAGCTCGTTGAGACTACCCTAGACCGTCACCATGTACCCAGGAAGATCAAGGACCTCATCCTGAATTACTACGGGAACTTCAGGCTCAGAGTCACTTCTGGGAGCACAACATCTGACTGGCACAGGCTCGAAAAGGGCATTATAACTGGGTGCACCATCTCCGTTGGCCTCTTTGCCCTGGCCATGAATATGGTAGTCAAGGCAGCTGAAAGGGAGTGCAGAGGTCCTCTGTCCAAGTCTGGCATTCGACAACCACCCATCAGAGCCTTTATGGACGATCTCACCGTCACCACAACATCTGTGCCTGGTGGAAGATGGATACTCCAGGGCCTGGAAAAGCTCATATCCTGGGCAAGAATGAGCTTCAAACCAACTAAATCCAGGTCGTTGGTGTTGAAGAAGGGAAAAGTGGCAGACAAGTTTCGCTTCCTCGTGGATGGCACGGCAATCCCATCTATCACCGAGAAACCAGTCAAGAGCCTGGGCAAGATTTTTGACTGTAGTCTCAGGGATTCTGCATCAATCCAGATCACCATCAAGGAGCTTGAGACGTGGCTGTCGGCAGTAGACAAGTCTGGCTTACCCGGCAGGTTTAAGGCGTGGATTTACCAGCATGGCGTCTTACCCCGAGTACTCTGGCCTCTGTTGGTGTACGAGGTGCCCCTGTCGACTGTAGAGACTCTGGAGAGGAAGATCAGCGGATACCTCCGTAGATGGATGGGCTTCCCACGCAGCCTATCCAGTGCAGCACTGTATGGAAAGACCAACAAACTCCAGCTCCCTTTCAGTAGCCTTGAGGAGGAGTTCAGGGTCTCTCGCACAAGAGAGGCTTTGCTCTATCGGGACTCCAAGGACTCCAAGGTAGCATCAGCGGGCATCGTGGTGCGAACTGGCAGGAAGTGGAGGGCTCAAGATGGTCTGGAGGTAGCCGAGTCTCGGCTGAGACACAGGGCTCTGGTGGGCTCGGTGGCAACGGGTCGAGCTGGGCTGGGAGTGTTCCCTCAACCGCGCTACGAAAAGGCACATGGCAAGGACAAACGACAGCTAGTCCTGAGGGAGGTGCGGATAGGGGTCGAGGAGGAACGGACCAGCAGGATGGTGGGCATGCAGCAGCAGGGAGCATGGACAAGGTGGGAGGGTGCGCTGGAGAGGAAGGTGACCTGGTCTGAGATCTGGCAGGCAGAACCGCAGCGCATAGGGTTCATGGTTCGTGCTGTCTACGATGTCCTGCCCAGCCCAGCCAATCTCCATCTCTGGGGTCTGGGCGACTCTCCAGCCTGTGCCCTGTGCTCCAGGAAAGGCTCTCTGGAGCACATCCTAAGCAGCTGTTCGATAGCCCTTGGGGAGGGTCGTTACCGCTGGCGGCACGACCAGGTGCTGAAGTCTGTTGCTGTAACTATCTCCAAAGCCGTGGCCAAAAACAACAGCCGCAAGCAACAACCTGGCAACAGGAACATCGCCTTTGTCAGGGCTGGAGAGCAGCCACAGTCACAGCCCAAACCAGCAGCTGGCCTCCTCACCTCAGCGGTGGACTGGGATCTCAGAGTTGACCTTGGCAAGCAGCTCAAGTTTCCAGACCAGATCACAACAACTTCCCTGAGGCCAGACATCGTGCTATCATCAGTCTCTTCAAGGCAGGTGCTCCTGTTAGAGCTGACAGTTCCCTGGGAGGATCGCATAGAGGAGGCAAACGAGCGGAAGCGGTCAAAGTACCAGGAGCTGGTCGAGCAATGCCAAAGAGGAGGGTGGAAGGCACGGTGTGAACCCATTGAAGTGGGGTGCAGGGGCTTTGCTGGCCGCTCATTGTGCAAGGTTTATTCGCTACTTGGCATCACCGGGGCTGCAAAAAGGTCAGCCATCAAGTCCACCATGGAGGCGGCAGAGAGAGCCTCCAGGTGGCTGTGGATCAGGAGGAGCGAACTGTGGGCCATTGCTACTGGGACACAAGCCAGGGTCTGATCAACCCTAGGCTGGGTCACCTGAGGGAGGACGTATGATGTTGAAAGACCCGAAACGTCCGATGAACTCAGGAACCTCACTGATGATGTGTCCCAGTTGCATCTCATGATGTATCTTCAATCATATTATTATTATTATTGTTATTATTGTTATTATTATTGTTATTATCTTTTTTAAATGGTACAAAATGTACATTTTCATAAAATAACTTTCTTTTCCTTCTTTACCAAAGGCAAATCTTAGGAAATAAAATTCACCTAACCAAAACAATTTAAAGGAAATACTTATCCACTCAAATACACTTGTGTATCTATATACGTACAGCTAAACATTCACATTTATATACAAACATAAACTTTCACTGTCAAATATAATAACAAATCATCCGCATAGAGTGATAGCTTATTATTAAATACAACGTCTTTTACACCAATGTCATCTCTAATGAACCGAGCTAGTGGTTCAATACTAATAACAAATAAAAGGGGTGATAGAGATCTCTCTGACTTATAGCTATGACTCTCACAGCAGCCTCTGGGCATGAATAGAGTGTTTATAAACTCTGGTCCAAAACTGAATTGTTTTAATGTCTGAAATAAAAATTGCCATGATACTTTCTGGGCATCTAAAGATAAAACCATTTACTTAAATTTCTTCTCACTTTGATGTAATGTTATGTTTGCTTTCCTACATAAAATATCTCTGTAGTATTTTCCTGAAATAAATCCAGTCTGATCTAGGTGGACAAATTGAGTGATAATGTGGTTAACTCATCTAGCCAAGATTCCTGTTAAAATACGCAAATCTACATTCAACAGTGAAATTGGTCTGCAAGACTGACACGACTGCCAATGTTGGGAACCGGAAAAAATGTCTTACTCCATATCCCGCTCATTAGCGCCTCTAAAAGTAAATATTTTAACTTGTGCATCCAAGATAATTAGTCTATCCCCACAGGATAATTAGATCTCACACACGTTTTTTTTCTTGTTTGCATGAAATACAAAAATTGAATTTTTGTGTGTTTTGTGTTCACCTTGTAGACTTGTGTTCCTCCAACAACCCAGATGGTCTCGATCAGATCAGCAAGGGGGGGTCGAACAGCAAGGAGGATGGCTGTCTCGAAGTTCTGACACAGGAAGTGGGCGTGGTCTGGAACTGTGCTGTGAGAGGAGAAATGCTCGTGGTGAATTAGGTCGTGTTCACACCTAAAGGTCCATTGCCTGATTCGAATCCAAGGCAAGACAAAACATTTGTTTTGAATATCGTTCGGTTATTGGTCATCACATGCCTTTCCTGTGATTGGTGTGGATGACATTCACACCAGAAATGAACCGCTCCAGATTTCACTTGATAGCGGTCCAAGACCACCTCTTCAGGCGGACCAGAGTTCGTTTATTTGATCCACACAAGAGTTTGAGGTCAGTGTTCACACCGACCCAAACGAACTGCACCAAGGGGGTAAACACTCCAGGGTTCGGTTCAAACAGACTAAATGAGGGTGGTGTGAACGCACCCTTACAGTGAAAACATGGGATGGGTTTGTGGTGAATCTGTGAAAACAGTGTGTGTTTGTGTGTGTAGCTGAGTGTTACTCACTTGAGTGTCTTACTCAGCACCACATGCAGGTTATTGGCCACTGGGAACATAGTTTCTGGGTTTGAGTACCAGCACAGTTTACCCCAAACCAGCAGGTTCATCTTCCCTGAAAAAGTTCAAATAAAAACCTCTTAGACAGAAAGGGTTGTATCTTCACAGTGGGCACAGAATACAGGACTGGGTTTCAGGACCTTTACAGTCTGTATCAAAGAAATGAGATTAAATTAACTGAGGGAAAGAATGAATAAACTCTATTCATATTTCTTATATTTTTTAAAGGGCCAATATAATATCAAACGTGTTTTGCCTTGCCAAAATGTATATGCTTTTGTCATCCCCCTGAGAATAAGGAAGTCAAAGACCTATGCATTGTCTCTGAAAACAATGTTCCTCCACAGTAATATGAATTTGCTCCTGCAGTGATGTAACAGGAGTGATTTGCACAAGCACGCATGCAAAACCTCTACCACATATCAATCTGTTCGGTTTTGCATCTGTGTTGCAGAGTCAAGATGTCAAATGATAAAGCTGGGCATGCAAACTGCTCTGTTGTTGGTTTCAAAAACAACACAAATGTCTATATTTGGTTCTGGTACTGAATAAAACCAAAGAACACAATGGCTGCTTTTTATTGTTAACAACACTCAGTGCACAACTTTCAATCTGGACTGCTTCAACGACAAAAACCGACCAAAAAGTTGCACCAAAAGCCATGAAAGAAGGAATTAACCTCAAATGTTAAGGAGCTGCTCAAAGACAAGCAGCTGCAGCTCTTGAACAATGACATCGCCCTGTTTTGGTGTAGTATACCGATGCAGGTTCTTCTGGGGGGCTCGCCATATTCGATTTGGTGGTTTTCTGCCTCTGCATTGAGGCTGTAACCAGTCTGTATCCTCATCCCTCAGACAAATCAGCACAACACCTCATTATCATAGCATCCCTGCCCATTTAGATCACTGCATTGATGATGAGATTAGAAAGTGAGAGGATGAATTCAACTAGGACAAAAATACTTTAACATGAGACTTTTAATGCCTTTATCTTGTATGTGACCAAATGCAACCAACCTGAATACCCTCCCAGGAATGTCTGATTGTGATGCTGACCAAGCAGTGTGTGTACATCAAAATATCACCAAACTCTACTTCCAAAGTTTGGCATGAAGACCTTTTAGCTCTTAGTGGTAAAATAAAGGCTCAAGTTTGGACCCACAATCTTAAAAAAAATAAAAAACATACAGGATGACTTATTAATACTGGGCTTATTTACCTGGTTTGGAGACCTGTGTGATTGTGTTGAGAAAATACTGGAACTCTGATCTGCAAGAGACATATTAACAACAAATCAGGCAGTTTTGGAGAGAGGTACTCCCAACTAGGTATTTCCTATGGTGGTTCTAGCCCCAGTGAAGTGACCCACTGGTTTCTAAAAGAGCTCATGAAGCCATATTGGGAATAATGACACCAAGTTACCTTCACTTAGTCAGACATGTACAGAGACAAGGCTAAAGTGGTCTTGACCCATGCTAATTTATCCATAACTTTTAGTCTTGATAGACTTATAATTGATATGCTTACTCATTCATTGCTTCTCATTCAAATGTAGAACATAAATGAGCTCTGGGGATCAAAACTGTTGCTTTCCTTTGTAACCAGGTTTTACATATGTTTATTTCTGCTGTCAAGTTAGATAATTTATCTGCACCTAAATTCCTGTGGATTATCTATGTGGAAAAAAAGTAGGCCTGCACAAGTTTTTTTGGGACAGCAACACAAACTTGATTGCTTTCATTCTGCAGAGATGGGAAGGCATGGCTTCTGATTGGACCCTTTACAGGTAGGCTGAATTAAGATAAATTCTCTGATTGGTCTGAAGATATGATCTGGATCCAATCCTTAAAAACAAAGGTAATCTGTGATCAATTATGCCCAAAATTATTTATAATAACAAAAATGTGTGTTTACTGTTGTTATTTTTGAAGCGTCAAAACTTTAAACTCAGCACACCTCTCTGAAATACATAATTTTTCAGTGTTTCTGAGAAATAAAGGTTCAAGAAGCATGTGCTAATAATGTAAAATCATCTTAATATCCACCTACCAACATGCAAAGTTAAGGGTTCAAACGAAACAAAGAGCCGTTAGAAAGTCAAACAGAGCTGAGTAAAAAAGTTCCAATCACTGTAATGATCCGAACTCCTCATCACCGCCAGTTACAGCTGTTGCGCATCTGTGTCAGTGTACCGTCTCAATGGAGGTTAAGGTCTGTCTTTCGTCATTTTAATTCAGTGTTTTCTGTTAAAATAAGTCTACATAAACCGTCATTTTTAATAAATAAAGAAATTTAAATCAATCCTCAGCTGCTGGTATGAGTCTTACGGTAAATGCCAGGGCAGCTTCCCGTCCTTCCCGATCCCCATGCCTCTGCAGGCTGCAGCGATGAGGCGGACCGGCTTCTTCTGCACTTTGTCCCGGCTCGTGTCCATCTCCTGCACGCGGTCAATCAGCGGCCTTAGTGGACGCACGCGACCACGGTCTTCGGCCAAAACTATTTTTCGAGCCCCGACTTCTCTGTCACCGCCCACCGGCTCGCAGCTGTGATTGGACACGGTGAACCTCTCTCTGCATCCTGGAACGGTTTAAGGCTTTCCCGGCAGCGTGACGCGTCCACGAAGGGCTGTCCACACCCATTATTCAATCAATAATTACCCAAAGACTGTTTAAGGTGTCCTCTGTTAACGCCAGTGAACAGCCAGTATTGTGTGGAGCAGACAGGACCAGTAAAACTAGAACTAAGTCCAGTTCTGTACTTTTACCGTTAATTTCATGATAAATCCCATGGACGGTTCTTGCCCGTTTGGGGGGGGGGGGGGCTGCAGCACACCCCCTAAATTTTAAGTGATTTTTTTTTAAGCATTTGTTTTTCCAACAGTCTATGTTTAATAAGCTGAGGAAATGTCGAAAACATATACAGGATAGGGTTAAAACGTAATATTTTAACAACAAAAATCAAGCAGCACCCTCATGCTTCGAAAATGGTTCGACCCCTACCTTTCCCTCTCTCTCGCTCTAAGCGCTTCACTCACGATGAGATTTCTCAGTGTGACGTGTAAGTACCATAGACTGTATACACTATGGACAACTTGGTTCTGCCTCCCGCCAGTATACAGATTTGAAGCCAAAAAGCCCTCGGTATTGATTTTTCCTTATTTCCTGAAAACAGTGCTGCACAATAGCGTTGTGCGCATTCGGCAGGAGAGTCGCCGAGAGTCGCTATGATGCATATCCCACCGAGTGAGCTACGCAATCCCTGAATGCCAATAGGCTGTATCAGGTGTCAATCAAAGAAAACATGAACCCCCTAATAACTTTAAAAATTGAGCTGCACAGAAAACCAACCCTCCTCCTTTATCCGGGCTTGGGACCAGCAAAATTGACCCATCTGAGACAATTTGGCGGAGTTACTGAGGTTTTTCTTTTTTTCCTTTTTTTTTAAGGTTTTGTATCATGCACTGTTGGGAGAAACCAGAGCACCTGGAAAAAACCCTGATGTGCGGCCTGTGTGTGTTTAATTACACCATAGAGTCTGGGAGCCTCTTACCCAAAAAGCCAAAAATTTCTCGGTATTTCCGGGATTTTTCTTCATTTCCTGAAACCAGCGCTGTGCAGTAGCGTTGTGCGCATTCGACCGTGCATTCGCAGAGATTCACTGTGATGTTGCTCGGCTCACACAGCGTATCCCCCGGGAGAGCTACTCAATCCCTGAACGCCCATAGGCTGTATCAGGTGTCAATCATAGCAAACGTGAACCCCCAAATAACTTTTAAAAACGGAGCTTCACAGAAAAAAAGAGGACTTGAGCACAAACCAGTTACAATAACTACATGTCAACATCGCAAGCAGGGGGGAGAAAAAGTTATGTTCTGTGTAATAAATTTCTAAAGTTGGTCCACAGCCCCATAAGCTTTGCTGGCGGAGGCGGGATTTATGACCTATAATGCAGCCCATCAACAGAGGGTGCTGTTCTCGGAGTGGCTTCACCCAGGGGAGGCAGGAGGCAAGGAGGCAGACGGCGTCCATTCTGTATACAGTCTATGATCCAAACTGTCAAGACTGTGGTAGTTGATCGGAGGCAGGAATCCTGATTCTTGTTCAAACTTCTCTGGTGTCTTCAGTCATCAGTGCCGTGGGGCAGCATCTTGTGGAGTAAAAAAGTACACACCAAGATACCACATGTCCACAGCCTCATCATAAGGAAGCTGCATTAGTACTCCCTTGTTTCCCTCAGTAGTTGGGCGGCTCCTCTCCTACTCTGGCACCTCCAGAATGTACACACCTGCATCTCATCTCCAATCACTGTGCCCTCTTAAGCACTACTGTGAGGCTCCTCAGCGTCAGATGATTTCAGCTTCTCTTGAGTTTCAGACCGACAACTACGAGTATCAAAAGTTTGTATATTCTCGCTACTTGTGCATTTTACCTGTGCTTACCCCTGCTCTCCTCTTTTCTCCTTCAGTGCCTCCTCGAGCCCGTTCCTCCGAGCCCCAACCTCTGCCATGCTGCCAACACTCTCACACCGGAGCACTCACCTACCTCCATATCGCTCACTTGCACCTCAGAGTCTCCCAGCACCCCGGACCTTGGATTACCTCCCTTTCTTCACCACTACTAACAATAAACCTTTCAAAACTTCCTCTGCCTCGGATTTGCTTCTGGGTTCAACTTTAAAAACACTGATTAGGAAATCATTACACTATATACACTCTTTCCATCACTATACTGAATAAACCATCGTAATATACAATTAATATACTCGATACTTCAATATCCAACTATCATCAAGTGCTTTTTGATGTACAGATGTGCAAATGCTAATAGATGTACATATGCACAAGTATGTCCTTGTCAAGGCCACTTACTCACGTTTATGATGTTAGGAAAACAAAACACATCAGCATCAGTATAATCTAGCAAAATTGATTTACTACATAGAAAGGGAGGGAATAATCCTTTATTTTCACAAAAAACAAATAAGCAACAACTTTCAATGCATTCAATACAGATTAAGCAATGCTTATTCATAGAATATAAAGTCATGATACATCATGTTAGCAGAACACAGTAATCACAACTGCAAGTGAGACTAGATCTGTGATTAGGGCCTTGTAGTTGAAACTTTTGGTACATAAGAGTGAATTTATGTTGTCATAATCATGACATGGAATCTGTCATTAACATGAATAAGGCTTATGAAGGTTGTTGTAGCTGCCATCAAGGTCAGAATAAATAGATTAATAAATATTAAGTTAAAAAGATTAAGTTCATAAATATATACATTTCTACTGACAATAGTTTAATATTAAAAGCAACATTGAATTTATTTCAGGTATTTTTTGTTTGGTTTTGATATGGTTTCAAGTCTTAATTGAGGGGGAACCAAAGTTACTGTCACAGGTTGGCGGAGTGTTACTTTGAAGATCGCTACGTTTTGATTGGTAACGTGCATCAGATATCATTCTGGATCAAGCTAGCAGCAGGCAGACACCTAGCTAATTGCTCTGCCTAAGAACAGCTAATGTTGAAGATGTTGTAAAGTGCATAGTGCATCGAAAGACTGAAGGAAGATTTCTAATTTTCTCTCAAAGGAAAGCGGCCAATGAGGTACATTTTGTGTTTGTATACTGTTATTTTGGTAAACTTTAAGGATCTAATGTGACGGATTTCTGTCGTGTCACGTTGTTTCTTTGATGTCTTTACATGTAAGTAATGTGTTTTTTTATTTGCTTTCTGTCTGTAATGTCTGACAGTTCTCACGGCACACTATCATGCTCATCGTGTGATTAAAGCCTGTAACATAAAGAACGACCTGGTTTCGTGATTTCGACTTGAGAGGGAATTACAGTTGTCATTAGGTGTCATTCGGTAAATTCTGACACCTTTGGTGCTATGTTGACAACAACATATGTTTTAACACAAACTCAGAATTGAATAGTTTTACCATTTTACAGTGGCCCACTTCCATGTCTGTACAGTTCAGCTCATCTCCTGTGAAATGTGCGCAAATACACGTAAGCAGTGCCAAAGACCACCTCTTAAAAGTGGATACAGTACTCATACTCGAGTGCGATTCTGTTCAAACTGATCAAATACATAGAACTTTGGAGTCAAGTAAATACAGGCCCTAGTCCTTTATGTGAAACCACTCTAACAGTGAAAATATCTGTAAGAAACAAAATATGGTGAGCACGGACTTTTTCTTTGTTTTGGTTGGCTGGAGTCTGCCCTTTCGGGCGGATATGTCTTGCTGTCTATCACCTGCTTGAAGAGGCTGCTCCCTTCCCCCTTGCGGCGCTGAGGCTGATCACACACACCTGTGCTCCACAATCCGGCTTTAAGACCACTTCAGACTCATGCCTAAGCGCCAGAGTATTTTCGCCTATACGCAGCGGTGCTTGGCTACAGAACACAATTGAGATATCGTAACCTACATTTGAAGATTTTTCCAGTGCCTGCTTTTTCTGGTTTTAACCCTCACTCCTCCAGCCAGCCAGCCACTGAGCACCTGGGCATCTCCCGGACCCTGTCTCCTTCACCTGGAAAAGCACTAACTTCAATAAACCTGTTTTGCCCCCCCCACCCCCGTCTGGTGTTGCATTCTGGTTCCATCTCAACACTCAGCCAACACACAAAACATGTTAACTATGAATAATTATGAAGTTTTAAGTCAACAACATCAGTCAAAAAAGATTGTTTTCTGCACAACAGCACCTCTCCTCCTACCAGTGCAATATTGATTGGCAACTATTACCTAAAAAAATGCATATGGCGCATGGTTTGTCCATTCTGTGCTACCATAGACACATGGTGGTCCAAAATATGGCCTACAAAAATGCACAAAAAACATAATTCAGTTAAAACTGTATAATCTAGATCAGATAATTCTCCCTCTGGGGAGAGCTGGTTCCAGAGCCCACACTACGTGTTGAGGTGATTCCGACTATATCTTGATGGAACCTTTCCACCTCGCACACCAATTCAGGCTACTTTCCCACCAGGGAGGTGACATTCCATGTCCCCAGAACTAGACTCTGCAGCCGAGGATCAGACTGCCAAGGGTCCACCTTCAGCTGCAGCCCAACTCACATTGCACCCAACTCCTTTGGCCCCTGCTATATGGGTGGTGAGCCCAAGGGAAGGGGGTCCCACGTTGCCTCTTTTGGCTGTGCCCAGCCGGCCCCATGGGTGCAGGCCCAGCCACCAGGTGCACGCCATCACCTGGGTGGCTCAGTAACCCGTGTGAGGAAAACTGGATACTAAATATTTTACTCATCAAAAAAGGTCTATTTGAGCTACCCTTAGTCTGATCCCTCCCCCAGGACATGTTTGCCATGGTTGAACCTACCAGAAGCATAAAGCCCCGACAACTTAGCTCCTGTGATCATCAGGACACACAAACCCCTCCACCACGGTAAGGTGGTAGCTCGAGGAGGGGAATTAAAACCCTCCCATGGGAGGGAAAAACCACAAGGGTTTTTTTTTTTTTTTTTTTTTTTTGTTGAAAGAATGTGGGAGGAAACCGGAGCACCCGGAGTAAACCCACACAGACACAGGGAGAACATGCAAACTCCACACAGAAACACCCTGACCCGGATCCAAACACAGGACGTTCTAGTCATCCCTAGGCGGGAGACAACAACACATGGCCCTGAAGACTCTGCCAAAGAAACATCTGACCCGTCTTAGTGGGCCACCTCTCCTTCTCACAGATGGACCTATTACAAGTTGAGGATCAGAGTCAAACCTCACTAGCTCACTTGTGTTGAAAACATCCTCCTCTGACAGGTTAATGCTGGTAAGAGCTGGATCTTCTACAGCTGAGCTGCTTATAGCTGCTTCAGCTTTAGCTGGTTCTTCTTGTTTGTCTTCCACAGCAGCTGGACTAAGATGATTCTCCTCTGAGATGATGGTAAGAGCTGGATCTTCTTCAGCTGAGCTGCTTATAGCCACTTCAGCTTCAGCTGGTTCTTCTTGTTTGTCTTCCACAGCAGCTGGACTAAGATGATTCTCCGCTGAGATGATGGTAAGAGCTGGATCTTCTACAGCTGAGCTGCTTATAGCCACTTCAGCTTCAGCTGGTTCTTCTTGTTTGTCTTCCACAGCAGCTGGACTAAGATGATTCTCCTCTGACCTGTTCCTGTAAGTGATGACCATTTTGTCCCTGGCGTCTCCCAGGTACTGGCTTCCAGCATTCTCCTGCAGGTGGACCATGGTGATAAATGGATGACTTAGAGCCTGCTTGGGGCTAATCCTCTTCTCTGGGTCAGTGTTTAGGAGACCCTTCAGGAGGCTTACAAAGGCTCTGCGGTCCTTGATCTCAATGGACCCATGGTTCTCTGGGTTAAGTGTGACCAGGTCTTCCAGAGAATTTACACTCAGTTTGCAGGGTTCAGGTTCAAGACCAGTTTTTGTCTGGTTTTTCACCAACCATTTGGGCTGGTCTCTCTGGTTAACCAACATAACATTGTCAAGCTTTAGGTCAGTGTATATGATCCCAATGTCTCCCATGGCATCAAAGGCTGATAGAAGTTGCTGGGTGATTGGACGAATCTCATGAAGAGAGAATGGCGCGTCGTTTTCATTCAATAGATCCAAAAGATTTTTGTCCAGCATTTCAAAGGCTACAAAAAGATAAGACAAAAAAAAAGACAGGATTTGATGAGATAGAACAAGGTAAGAGTAATACTAAAGAGCATTAAAATACATGAATTATAAAAAGACCACTGCTAAATCTGAAATATTTACAAATGTTTTTCTTTTGTTTCTAACCAAAAAAAGTAATGCCTTTGTAAAGTATTTTAGACCAAATGAGTACTTCTGAATATCAAAGTTTAAATACAATGGTACCCAGTGTTTGGTCTGAAATTAGACCTGATATTTTACAAGATGTTTTTAGTGCAGTAAACGTATAACTTTTTACCACATATCTCTGATATCCAAAGAAATACTTTCATTCAACAGTAAAACAGAATGATGAAATGGAATATAATCTACATACCTAGACAGGTGTGTCCATTGTGCTCGAATGTCTCAAAGAACTGCACAATATTAGACTTGTCAGCGTCTAGAGTCCTAAGAGTTTGCAGTATCTCAATCTCGTTCGCAATGAGTTCTTTGTCTTCGTTGTTCATGATCTTCAGGGCGACTGACTCCCTTGTGATGATATTTTTTGCTTTGACAACTTTACCAAAAGCCCCGCTGTCGATGAACATCGAAACGCAGTATTGACCGAAGTCACCGTTCAGGATTTCTCCTGGTTCAATATCATCAGCTTCAGCTGGTACTTCTTGTTTGTCTTCCACAGCAGCTGGACTAAGATGATTCTCCTCTGACCTGTTCCTGTAAGTGATGACCATTTTGTCCCTGGCGTCTTCCAGGTACTGGCTGCCAGCATTCTCCTGCAGGTGGACCATTGTGATAAATGGATGACTTAGAGCCTGCTTGGGGCTAATCCTCTTCTCTGGGTCAGTGTTTAGGAGACCCTTCAGGAGGCTCACAAAGGCTCTGCGGTCCTCGATCTCAATGGACCCATGGTTCTCTGGGTTAAGTGTGACCAGGTCTTCCAGAGAATTTACACTCAGTTTGCAGGGTTCAGGTTTAAGACCAGTTTTTGTCTGGTTTTTCACCAGCCATTTGGAGTGTTCTGAGAATGGGTTCTTTACAAAGTAGTGTGTTGTGAATTTTCCAGCATCGAGGAGGTGATCAGCTGGCTGACCCATGATGGCTACGATGTCCTCCATGGTCCCAATCTCACTGAAGCCATCACCAAATGGGTAGTCAAAGAGAAACATTTCAAACAGAAGACACCCCAGAGCCCACATGTCTATTGCCTCTGAGGAGGGGAGGCCCAGGAACAGTTCAGGAGCTCTGTAAGGGACTGTCGGCATTCCCAAACTGTCGTCCACCTCAGAGGTCTTAACGGACACACCGAAGTCTATAAGTTTGACTCTGAAAGGCTGGTCTCTCTGGTTAACCAACATAACATTGTCAGGCTTTAGGTCAGTGTATATGATCCCGATGTATGCCAGGGCATCAAAGGCCGACAGAAGTTGCTGGGTGATTGGACGAATCTCATGAAGAGAGAATGGCATACGGTTTTCATTCAATTGATCCAAAAGACTTTTGTCCAGCATTTCAAAGGCTACAAAAAGATAAGACAAAAAAAAAGACAGGATTAGATGAGAAAAAACAAGGTAAGAGTAACACTAAAGAGCATTAAAATACATGAATTATAAAAAGTAAAATCTGCAAAATCTGAAATATTTTCTCTTTTATTTCTAACCAAAAAAAGTTATGCCTTTGTAAAGTATTTTAGACCAAATGAGTACTTTCTGAATATCTAGGTTTAAATACAATGGTACCCAGTGTTTGGTACTGAAATTAGACCTGATATTTTACAAGATGTTTTTAGTGCAGTAAACGTCCAACTTTTTACCACATATCTCTGATATCCAAAAAAATACTTTCATTCAACAGTAAAACAGAATGGTGAAATGGAATATAATCTACATACCTAGACAGGTGTGTCCATTGTGCTCGAACGTCTCAAAGAACTGCACAATGTTAGACTCATCAGCGTCTAGAGTCCTAAGAGTTTGCAGTATCTTAATCTCGTTCGCAATGAGTTCTTTGTCTTCGTTGTTCATGATCTTCAGGGCGACTGACTCCCTTGTGATGACATTTTTTGCTTTGACAACTTTACCAAAAGCTCCGCTGTCGATGAACTCCAAAATGAAGTATCGATTGGCGTCACCATTCAGTATTTCTCCTGGTTCAATGTCAATATCTGCATACACCTTATCCTGATAAACTGCTGCACAGCAGGCTTCGCTTGAATGAGACATTTTCGAGTCAAAGATAACTTTTACCACAAACAAAGTGCTGCTAATAAATCGCTCTAATTCTGGTTTCAATGTTGTGAATTAAGGTTAGAAGTTCTTACTTTGGACAACAAGGTTCTTGACACAGAGTCTGTTGTGAGACATCAAAGTTCCTATGACATCACTGAGGAACATAACAGAGCTGATGACATCACTGATGACATCAGCATCATCAATGATGCTGATGTCATCAGTGATGTCATCAGCTCTGTTTCCCAGCTGTTCTACAGCTGTTACCATGGCAACCAGTTTTAATGTGTGACCATTTTTAAATTTTGGATTGAGAGAAGAGTTAGTACAGAGAATTCCTTTTTTTGTATTCTAACTTTTTAAACTAAGTAAATATACTGAGAGTATTTTCAATTATTGTTATTTAGTTCTTTATTATTATTATTATTATTATTATTATTATTATTATTATTATTATTATTATTATTATTATTCCATACCCTTTTTAACCTTCCTTCTGTGTAAGCTTTTACTAAGCACCCACCATGTTAAAGGTCGGTTTTGACCTCAGCTGTAAGTTACACTAAAAACAATTTTCTGTCATCCAATTAGGTTCTCATCACTAGGTTAACTTGTTAGGCTTTATTATCCATGAAAATATTGCTTTTAATATTTATTGTTTTGGGCCTCTGGGCGTTTCTTTGTCAGTATTTCCTAAACCTCACATGAATGGAAGAGGATCTGACTGTTAGTGCATTTATGATTTCAGTTTTTGCTCTTGTTACATACCAAAAGATGTAAAAGGGGACAAAGGTAGTAACAATAGTTAAAAAAAGAACTAAGGTGAAGTAACAGTGTCCAGGGTAATTAATGAAACAGAAAAGTTTATTCTTGAGGTTAAACAACCAACTTAAAACAAGCACTAGGCCGAGAAAAACACCAATACAACACAAATGGTAAGCTAAAGTGACAAAAGAAAACAGCAAATGCACTGCAGGCTCCACTGCCACCTGCTCAGCCCAGCCACTACTGAACCACACCAGAGTCACACACTCTTTCAAAGAGGTCCACACAGGATCGCTGACAGGAGGGAATGAGAGGGAGAGACCACAGTACTTTCTTCTTTTATATAGTTTGCTGCTCATCAGCAGATCAGCCACACCTGCCACACCTCTACTGCAGTGGAAAAAACTTGCAGGTAGAGAGAGACACACAAAAACAGCACACAAACACAGAAAACAGCACACAAACACCCAGGGCATGCAACAACTCTAATTATGAGATATTGATCTAACCGGGTCAACAGCGACCCTAACATGACAAGAGCCATAATTTTCATGAGTATTTTATAATTTAGTCAATTTAATTTTTTATTTTGTTGAAATAGAGGTTCCTGACAAAGTCAAAAAGTCTTGATGCGAAAAAAGCTCATGTAAGTGGGTCTTTTAAACATTTAAAATCAAAAACGGGTCAGTGCAGACCCTAACACAGGAGGAGGGTTAGGTGATAGCTCCCAAATGTTTCCCCTGTCTCAGTACAAATCCATGGGCATCTGCAGAGGCTGACTGCCAGAGCAGACCTGCTTCATGTGTCACTGTGTTTTTTCTTTACATGTCAACCTTTGGGGTTGTTTATTGAAAAATTATGAGCGGTGAAAGGAGCCATCCAGGGTAAGGATGTATATGATGAAACACAGATGTTTGAGCATCAGATCCTTGATGATGTCGGTTTGTAAAGTGAAGACAAGTGAGCTCTGCAAAGTGAGGAGCGCACCGACTGAGAGCTAATACACCTGATTAATGTCATGGGACTGCAATCTGTGGACAATGTGAGCCGTACTCCACCATAATCAGATATGCAGGTTAAACCAGGGAATTACACACTCATGTGTTGTCATGCTCTATCAGAAACAGTCAGGCTTTAAAAACATGTCAGATGCAAAGACATGCATGGATTTAATGAGTTCCAATTGAACTTTTGCTTGGGATGAGGCTGGGGAAACAAGTTCTCATTACAAAAACAGTACTTTCACATTAATCTTCTGCCTTGTTTAAGCAGATCATTTCTTTTGCGAAAAAATAAAAAAGAACCAAAAAAAAAAAAAAAACACCTTGCGGCAGCACTTTCACTCCACAGTCTGGATCTCAGGCCTACTTCACATCTGGCAAAATATTGAGATGCCTCTGCAACACATAAACAGAACTTAAGCTTGCACTTCAAGTGTATAAACTAGCTCCAAAGAACTCATATGACTAGAAAGTTATTATAGATGTTCAAGGGTATGATACCTGAGGTAAAGAGGCCTGCAGTATGTTTTGAGAATGGACCAACAGAAGGTATGCACACCAGCAGCTCCTTGCTGCACATAAAAAAACAGAGTCATGCTGCTTCATTTAGAGAAACAAAGTTCCTCAGACTTTTTCCAAGGCTGCGTTTGCTCACTTGTTGGATAATCTGGCAGTAAATGATTAATTTGTCCTGCTATAACCTCTAAAACACATGAAAACCTAGCAGAGGGGGTCTGGCATGGTTGCAGGAAAACCAGGGATGAAAATAACAATAACTTAATTTATGTAGCACCTTTAAAAACAAATGTTTGCAAAATGCTTTGACAGACAAAGCAAAGACAGGAACTCAGAGTGATAACAGGATAAACATTCAGCCGTCAGGCTAAACTCAGACTACTTCAGCTTTCTGGTGCGTCACCATTCATCCTCCTTTGTGTGTTTCTCTGGGATATAAAGCACACAGATTTCTTCCCTGAACTTTTCGCTGGTAAATTTTCCACATGAACTGAGCTGGTGCACCAGCAGCAGCAGCACTGACTTTACAAATCAGTGGTGCAAACAAAAGGTCAGGGTTATAATGTGTTATAACCATTAACAACTCACTGGCAATGCCCACATAGATAATGCATCATACATGTATGTACGATTTGTTATAATTTGCTTATAAACTTGTTTAACTATCATTATAAACACTCATTAATTATAATGCTTTATAACAATGATAATAACACATTATAAAGCATTTTATCATGACTTACTGGGTCTGGTATTGTAATGTGTTATGTGTTATGCGTTATAGAGATAAGCGTCAAGTGTTACCGTATTTTTAATCCCTTTTTAAAATTTCATGATTTTGCATTTCAGTACACTTTTACATGAAATAGATGCTGTACTGCTACACCACGAGGTCCAATCCTATTATTTATCATTGTTCATTTTAAAGGATAACATTGTGACACACAAGAAATTTTCAGAGGTGCATGAACACAGTGCCAAATCAGTATAATTTGCAGTTATTTTGACACTATTTTCCTATTGACACTATTGTTTCCTGCAAGGATAAGTCATGTGTCAACCTAAGGACGCCTCTCAGAGTCTTCCACAATGTTTACTGTGCTGCAGTCAGTTTTCATCAGTTTCAAAGCACTGTAGTTAACCTCTTCAGGATAATTTCATCAGGTCTGCTGGTACCACTGAATAGATTCAGCTGCTGCACAGGGCAGACACCCTTCAATCACCCTCGAAGTCAAGTGCCCAAGAGACTCTAACAATAATTCAAAGTCACATCATCTCTGCAGAGTTTATCTTGAACTCTTGAACCTGTCTCTCCTGATTGAACTGTGTCATCGGAGAGCATTTTAATGTTACATTTAGAAGTGCAGTGGTGTTATTGTTTTCCATTATGGTGAAAGTACGAGCAGCAGCTCAATTATGGTGCGCAAAAAAAAAAAAAGCAAAGAGGCATGTAGCTGAAAGAAATAAACATTTTAGTTTGGACATGAACTGTGCCGCAACTTAACATCGACAACCCTGATTAGATTAACTAATGTTTCATACCTTTAGGCTGGGTACAGAAAAATGCTTTATCTGATGGGAATGAATAAACTTGGACCCCTTACCTGTCCAGCATCCGTGCTACAGTTTGGTTCTGTGATACAGATGATCCTATTTCTTATGTCCATCACCTGTACAGTTTATGGAAGCTCATAAAAGTTTCTCTGCATCATCTTTACAAACAACCAACCCTCCCTTATTGTTTTTTTCTATGTAGGCCTACAATATGTTGTTCAATCATTATTTTCCTTATATTTTATTTTCCTTTTTTTCCTGTTTGCTTTCATCGTAATTTTAAGGAGACTATAGTATGAGTATCACATTTAAGAATTCTGTTGCAGATTTTGAGCATTTTTGAAATCATTGAAATCTTAGAATAAAGTCATAGTAAAATAATGTTCCCTTGAAAATAATGACTAATATTTATGTCAGACATTTTTTATCACCCTAATCTTTCTCTTTAGTAGGATATCTGACCAAAGAATTTGTAGTGATGGACATTTTTGACAAAAAGAGAATCTTACTTGTCCTTGAAGACCGCGATAGCTTCACCAATTTGAAGGGTGAGCAAGGGAACCTTTTAATCTAGAGTCTGACTGCTATACATTACTTGATGTACGTTTCTGCACACTGTCCCTAAATCTGTGTGAAGGTAACTTCGCTTTATCAATGTAAGGGGTGAGAAAAGGAGGGGGGGTCTCAGTGTAGAATGCTTCAGATTTCTAATTGCTAAAGGCTTCTACAACTGTGCCTTTAAAACCGCTTATCCCCGACCCTTTTCATCTCCTCCGTCGAAAAGAAAATTCCAAATTAAAAAAAGTGAGATATGACAAGATAACAGAAACAACGATTGTGTTTTATTTCATGTTTAATACAGTTAGAATTTGGTCAGTTTATACAAAAATAACAGATTGACCATCACATGGCAGACAAAAACACGAGCATTCACAGTAGGTCTTTGAGTTTTGGTTAATAATTTCTTTACAAAAAGAAGCTGTGAAACCCTGTGATCAAATGTACAAAAGCTGGGATCAAAAACAATAAATATGTACAAATACTCACCATTAGTCAGGTTTATTTTTCTTTATTAGAAACCTGACAGTCTTCATTGGTTGTATTCTGTCTCTGTCTCTCTTACTTTATGTAGAAGGACATTATAATGTGATACGGAATACATGAGGAAAGACACTAAATATGTTTGAAGAGTTTTTTCTTTTTAATCATGTTGATGAGAAAACAGAGGGTGAGGGGTCAGCCAGGCACAGAATCTCTCCTCCTGATTGAGTTTAGAGGTCCGAACAGTCAGGGTGTGGAGTCTGACGCTTAAACGTGAAGTTGCAGATGCCAAAGCTGTCAGGATTTCAGACAGTATTTCACATTCATTGATGTGAAGTTTGAGGGGAGAACGAGTTCGAGCTTTAACAGTGGAAGACGACAGGAGGCCTCTCAGCACCCTGATGAAGACAGACTATAAAACAGAGGTCTGCATTATGAGATGAGTTTGACTTTATCTTCATAACGGACGCAGGCTAAGACAAAACCTAAAGCTCCTAAAAGCATAAAGCTGGCTACCAAGTGTCTCTGTTCACTCAGGCTCAGTCGATGATCAGCATTATGTGAGCTTCAGGCTTCATCTTATTGGCCACGGTCAAAGATAATCTGGGTCCATAGTCCAAACTGGCCCCATAGTGCAGGTTGTGAGATACCAAAGGGATGTAGCCGGGTCAAAATAGATGGCTACCTTAAATGTCATATATGCTCCGTAGATCGGCCCTCAGGTGATTTAGGGTTCCTCCTCTGCAGACTCTGTGTTTTTTTCTCTGTTCCTGAGATGTGTCATGTGTCTAATCTGGCCATCCAGATGTGTTGACTGCTGACCATCCTGTCTGACCTTTAACTATCTGATCACAAATATCATGCGACATGCTGTGGTCTTTATGCAACCAGCCAACGGTCGCAGCTGGGACCTGGCGCCCCTGTTCTCTGTGTCATGGTTGTTAGTTACAGTCACTGCTGAGAGTTATCTGAGGGTCCTGCAGGAGGCAATGTGATCCAGGTTGACCATCTGAGGGGCCCCCTTTGTATCTGTCCGTCTCTCATCATTTGCTTTGCCTCAAGGACTTACTGCTGGTCTCAGACGGAGCCTCTTCGTGGCGCCTCTTCTGTGCCGATTGTCCTCTCTCTGTTTTAGGATGACAAACAGAACAAAAGTCATGAGATCAAAAAGAAACAGGATTTTATTAGCGAAACAGCCCAACCCTCCAATCCAAATTTTGTGCATAAACGAAAAGACTGGGGAGGGAGAGCAGCAAAAAGACCCTTTGATTAAGCCCCCTGCCTTCCATGTTTGTTTATGGAAAGCCAAAGTCTAAAGCTGTATAGCTGTTTGAGGAGAAAGTTGGAATAGATAAGCAATTTTGACATTTACCAGCTGGATACATACTTGGTTAAGAACTGAGCAGTCAGCTAATATGGGCAGAGGTGAAGTACTGGGGTACATCAGGGCTGAGCTTCATTTTGTGGTCTACCTGAACCTAACACTTTGCTCAATTTAAGTTGTGCTGTAATGGAGCCAGACATTCAGTCACCTGTTCCACACAACTGCAGCTATCCTCCAGGCTACAAGAGCAAACAATACACACAACACCAACAACACACCTTAACCTCATGGGTGTTTACATTAGCTGCTATTACTTCAACACGAACAGGGGAATCTTCTCTACTTTTTGTTTCTCATGATGTTTGAATCTGAAGTCGGACCACCAAATCAGGGTTGTACCTGTTCGAGATGTACCCCCATGTGAGGCGGGGTTTTCTGGAGCTCCTCCTGGACCCTTACTGCTCCTTGCATTGACTCCTTTGATGTTACTGCTGTGTGCACCACTGCTGGAGTTCGCAGGTACTGTAGCCAGAAGGCCTGCAGAACAAGAGAGAGCGAGAGAAAGACTGTTTCATTGACTGACGAATTAAAACTAAAGAAAGCATAGAAGAGTTTGATGCTTGTCAATGCCACAGTCAGAGCTGGTCCTTAATCCTTGTGGTAATAAAGAAGCATGAAACTGCAGAGAATCAGGTAATAAGACATTGTTTTTGGTGAACCTCACACCCTGTATAGAGATCTTTAGTCCTCATCGTGGTACTCAGTACTCTGATTTTTGAAAAACTCCCCACTTTTGTCTTTCTTCATGTGATTCATCTGATAAGGGAAAAATGGCACCACAAACTTAGAGACCTATAATGTTTTTTTTAATATTTTTTTTAAAGTTACTTTCCCAAGAAAAAGGAAACTGTTTGGGTGTGCTATATACAGGTTACCGACTGACATCACCTGAATTGCTACATTTTCTCCAGTCCTGTCCGACAGGTGATTATTGACTCCATGTTATGCAAAAATGATCAGCACTCAGAAATGTAATGAAAACAGAAATGAAAGATAATAAAAGCAGATGTCTGCAAATACTGCATGAACATTTGGGGAAATTTTAAGTCTGGTTTCTGCTCCCAAGGTCTCACTGACTTATTGCTAACAGCCAATTCTTTGTTAATTCTTTTTGATTTAAGTTTAGCATTTGATGCAGACTACCTCAGTGTCTCAATCAGCTGTCTGAAACACTATTAGACTCAGTGATATGGTGCTGGACTGGTTCATCTCCTATCTGTCAAACAGGTCTCTTTCTAAATGCTTAGAAATGCCTCCTCTATCCTGAGGTGCCCCCTGAAGTCTATTTCGGGTCCCCTTTTATTTACTGTATTATTTACATGCTCCCCCCTGCATAGGCATGGTTTAGACTTTCACTGCCATGCACCTGACACTCAGCTCTATGCGCTGCTAAAACCTGGCTCCATGGATGAGTCTCACATTATGTCCTGTCAGACTGAAATCGAGAATTGGATGTCTGAAAAATTTCTGCAGCTCAATAACTCCGAATCTGAAGTTATTGTCATCACTCATTCTACCCCCACTTCCAGCTACATTTGTGATTGTTCCTCCAGTCTTGGTGCCTTTTCCAGTGACACTCCTTTGACAGCCAGGGGACCAGAATCATACAGACCTGCTTTAGTCAGCTTAGACAGTTAACCAAAATCAGGTCTTTTTTTTCTCCCCCTGACTTTAAAAAAGTCATTCATGTACCTATTTCTTCCAGACTGGACTACTGTACTGCACTTTATTCTGGCATCAGTAAGCACAACATTTAAAGACTACTATTGATCCACAGCTAGCACCCTATGAGCCTGACCACACCCTGAGGTCTTCTAACTCGGCCCTTTCATGATCCCTAAATCTCAACTGGTCACAAGAAGTGACTGAGCATTTGCATTTTATATGAGCTGTGTCTATTGGTAGATTACTTTGTTTTACATACAGCAGTTCATGTGATTTTGGTGTCGTCAGTAAGTATCATGTGGTTACCCAGTCCTCTGTAGCAGGAGAGCTGCTGGTAAATCTGCTTCATCCTCTCAATGTTGATGCGGCTGGCCTCGGCGTGGTTCACCATGGGTTTGGGGTAATGGACTCCAATGATACACTTGGCTGCCTTCTGCACTTCCTCCGGGGCATTCCACGGATCATAGATGTATTTGGCCGGAAAACCTCTTAACACGGGCAAATAGCGCCTAGAGGAAAAGACAAGAGAGGAGAGCAATGTGAAGGACCTGAATGAGCCAGTTCCATTTATCTTTCTCTCTGTTCACCAGTAACTACAACCCCAAATGAAAATCTAAAGGCTTTGAGAAAGCTGATGTGATAGAAATCCACATAAGAGAGCAAGAAGATCGTGTTCTTTAATCCATCTTTTTTAATGACTGCAGGAGGCATAATGAAACCAAAAAACTGCTTATAAAAACATCTGTGCTTCTTTATTCTGTGATGACTGACCGTATGTAGTCCCCGTTGGGGTCTGTTCGTCGCCCAAATCCCACTGGGCAGTAACACTGGAAGAACTGCTGGAAGAAGGCGCTGCAGGAAAGCCACATCCAGCTGCCAGCATTCCCACTCCAGTCTGCATCAATGAGAAGCTCCTCGAACACCTGCATGAGGCACAGAGACGTTTTTTATTTTTCCAATCAGCTGCGTACATTTATTTGGTGTAACATCACTCAAGATGTACTGAATTTAAAATGTTAATCTTAAAATCCTGATCCCACAGAAAGAAACTCATTTGTGTTAAATACAGAGAGAGAGAGGCTCTCAGTAGACCTACCTTCACGCCCTCCTCCCAGCTGATCCACAGATCTCCCCTGGTGAGGAAACAGGCCACGGCACGCCTCGCCAAGTGGTGGATCCATCCTTCCTGCCTCAGCTGGGTCATGATGGCATCAATCCAGGGAAAGCCTGTCTGTCCCTCTGCCCACTTGGCCAGGGCCTCGGGGTTCCTGTCCCAGGGGATCTGAACACACACAGGGTTTCCCTCCATCTTGTCAAAGCAGGAGTTGTTGGTGGCGGTAGTGTAGAAGAACTCCCTGCACAGCAGTGGACCGTACGGAGAGAGGGGGATGATGTTGCTCTCCTTTGCCTGAGAGGAACAGAAAATCATAATTTAGTTTCCAACATCAATTAACAGCCAACGTTTTTATTCCACATGCAAAAAAAAACCAACAACCCTACATGATTGAATCACACATTTTGTTTGAATACTCCTGCAAACAACTTTGTCACTTTTTTCTCTTTGCCAAAAGTTAAAAGAATGAATTAACTTTTTTTAAACTGTTGTTTCCTCCGTGGATGTACACACCTTGCGGTACAGCTCGGTGAGTCTGAAGTAGAAGAGTCGACAGGAGAGACATCCGAAGCGAAGGTAGGGGCTGAGTTCAGTCGGACTGGCTAACAGAGAGTTGGGATTCATACGAGGACGATCAAAGTTTGCCACCCAGGCCTGTGAAGAGAGGAGCAGATTGTTTTCAAAGGGGTCAATGTATTGTGACGTGTAAGCTGTGTGGAGCAGCCCGCACGGTGACTTCGACTACAGAGTCACCTGCACGGATGACCAAAGACTGGTGTTGCTAGCTCTGCTAATGTTAGCCACACTTGATGAACCTGCAGACTTTGTTCAGCTGCATGAGCACCCAGTGTTCAGCTATGTTAAATAAACAATGTTAAATCATGACTCATTTTTCTGCCATTTAATCGCATGGTTGGAATTTTTTATCTCTGTTTAAATAAACTTGGCAGCTTCAGAGCATCACTAGTTTTGCTCCATCTGTTTGAACTTTTTTTGAGACACATCAACGTCACCAAATTGAAACAGTAACTCCACTTTCAATGTTTGAATTGTTTTCTTTGGAAAAAGTTAAGAGGAAGTATTTCAATCTCATATTTCATGCTTGTACAGTGTTATCTTGTTACCTTTTTCTCCAGGTGCTGCTCCAGCCTTTTGAGAGCCTCTGTTTCTCCTCCCTGCCACACGGCCGAGCCCAAGCCTTCTGTCTCAAAACCTGATCGTATAAAAGCGACAAAAAAGACAGATTCATAAACACTTTGTAGTCTGTGACTCACAGTTTTATGCTATATTTACATGAGGCGACAACACAGATTTACAAATCACGAAAAAAACTCACCAAGCTCCTCCAGGGTCGGCACCCCAAACTTGTCGTCGTGGTCATCTCTGATGGGCACGGCGCAGTTTTTCATCATATCCCGAGTGATTGTCTCTGCAGGAGGCTCAACAGGATCCATACGACTGATGAGAGTCTGGAAGCGTTTATAGGTAAGAGGAGGCTGACCATCGTTCAGTTCAATGATCCTTCAGGAGAGAAACGGGATTCAAATTAGCATAAATATCTCACGCACAAGAACAGAGTGGAAAATGGTGAACGCACTTTGATCCACACAGGTTTATTCATTTTTATTAATCATTGTTTCATCACTCACTTCACCAGATTGTAGAGTGTGTGTGAAACCCGCACCACCACCTCCACCCCAGCCTCGTTGGCTAGTTTCTGGATGGCGGCGTCACGCTCCTTCCCAAACGGCTCGGAGTCGTACTCATAAGATAGGCGTGTGATCTCCCACTCCTGAATGAGACAGATAGAGAGAAAGGTTAAGGTTTATCTTTTAGATCCGAGAGAATCACACGTTTATGGTGAATTGACACAGTATCTGTTTGAGTCATGTGCTGCATGTGAGGCTAATCAATAGTAAGAGTGACTCTTTTTTCCCCAATCTTGTATTTGAACGCTCCCTGCGTTAGCTATCTGAATTGTTTGATCTACTTTCAATTAATTGTCCCACCTTAAACAGACGAGGGAAGACATCTGTGGGCTGTCCTCTGATGACAAACAGGCGGGAGTTGAGTTTGCGCAAGCTGGCGTCCAAGTCCTCCAGACAATGCAACAAGAACCTGACACACACAGAATGAAGAAATCCATTAATTATACAGCTGGAAAACCAGACGCAGTGATCGCACTTTCTACAATAACGAGATCAGTCATACAGCAACAGACTGATCTGATGATGAGAGGACAGTGGGAAATAAGCAGCATATGGTGGGTAATTGTTTGTACCGAATCAGTCATGTACCTCAAAAAAAATCTATTCTTTGTTGTTCTTGCAGGTATTCTTCTCCTTCTGTTCTTTTTCAGACAGCTGGGTACGGTGCAAACATACATTGATGCACACAAACATGAATGCTAGCCACGAATGGCTCCTGTTAACTATCAGGTAGCAGGTGAGGAGTCTGATAAGGAGGGATAAGTGGATTTAAATGTTCCAGCATTTCTAAGAGTTTTCAAAACCCTCTAATTCATTTTTATTTTTGAAACAATATTTCACTGAAGTTTCTTTAGGATTGAATCTCTTAGGGTTGTATCTGAGCTGGAACTGATTCACGATTGATCAAAAACAGGAATTGTATCTGTGGCATCCTCTTTAAATTACATTCAACGCCATACATTTATTTTTCTCAGTGAAATAAACTGAAACTAATAAGTGTGTGAAATAGTTATACAATTTATTATACTAGCTAGTGAGTGTAGGTTAAATTCAGCCCCTGAAACCAAAACACGAGACCACATGTGTGAGCCCAGCTGACTGGACTTAAAGGCTAAGCTGATTGGATGCCCAGAAGTTTCTTGTGAAGGAGTCAGGCCTGAAGGCTGCTGCTTTGAATGTGCAGTAAAAATGCATGAAATCAGAAGTCTGGGCATTCACACAACATGACTACTTTTTATACAAGACAAATTAGTAAGACTTAAGATCACCTTAGCTGTTACACTCCAGGTAAAAAGGATTTAATTCAATCCCAACTCTTGAGAATGCAAGATGGTATTTTACCAGCATTACAGCACCTTCAAAACAAGTTATTTTTAGCTTCATCTTTAAAGCACTTATGAAAAAAAATTAAAGGCAAAACCTCTGAGATGAGACAAAATAATGATCCAACAAAAAAAAAAAAGCAATGGCACAGAATGCAAAGAGTGAGCTTGCTGCCCTCTGCTGGTCAAGTCTTTTAGAACACAACATCCGCATCAGTGCACTGTCTGGCGCAGCAGAAACTTCTGTTATCACAACAGGAAGTGCGCCCTCTGTAGGTGGGCTCACATGCCTTACTTAAAGTGAAGAATTTTGTCTCTTTTAGGGTTACAATTGCATCAAACCTGATTTCCAAAGCAGCATCTCATAGTTTCTTATTCAAGTTAAAAGAAAGGCACAGGTTTAGTTTAACTCCACAGTGGGATTACTTGCCTTTTGTAGCGATAGGAGGAATTCTTATAATTCAACCATTTTTTTCTCCTTTCTTGTAAGACAGGGGGAATCTAGAGCCTTTTACATTTAAATACAAACTAGAAATATAGTAGAAACACTGCGGTTTGCACTATCTGTTAGTCCCTGAAGACAAGTCTGAACTTAAAGACTACAGGTGCTCTCACTTGGCCCAGTTTCCTTGTACTGTGCTGGAATACAATTTTCCAACTCCCCAGTCTCTCACTGGTCTGTTCTCACACTGCTCCAGACTCTAACGAGCCTAGGCACAATTAGTGCAAGATGTGCAAAGTACAAGATGTGCTTCACAGTGATCAACAACACAGAGAACATGACTGAAAATTCACTGGCTTTGTGGTTTCGGGTGCACATCAGTGTTAAAAGCTATGGAGCTGTCTAAAACATGATGTTTTCATAGTTTGTGTAATGCATATGTTATATGACATAGGGAAAAATGATTCATTTTTAACGCTTCTTTGATGTTCCATCTATAAATAAAGCACAGTCTGCAGAGTCAGGACTTGAGGGGTCATTAGAGGTCAAACGTCCCAGAGTGTGGTTAAGATTGCTTGGTGATGGTGCGCCCAAATAATAATGCCAGAATGCCAGAAGTTCAGACTTATAGGTGGTGAATGAGATGTAACAGGCATGTGGTATATCATCTCTATGAAGGCTTTGCATTCACCAGCTCACAGATCTTATCATTTCAAATGAATTCACTTTAGCAGAGAATTAGACATCACATGTTGGCCATGCATTGGACTCATGTAACAGGTTGTGTCGCAATGCTTTTTTCAGGAACGAGGAGTGTATGGCCAGCCAAGACTTGGGAGAACAGGGACATGGTAATGTGTCCTGATTCGGTTTGAATTAAATTAATTGTAAAGGGTCAAGTTATGTGGGAGAAGTGGACAGATCAAATCTGTACCAAGTCTCAACAAAAAACGTTCCACTTAAAGAAACTTCTGTCTTTTAATGTTGAAAGGAAAATGCTCCAAATGTTTTACTGCGCTTTTATCAAAAGCATTTTTTCTTTTTATATTACCTGCTGGTTTGGCAATGCCACAGAGGCACAGAAAAAGAGGGTTAGAGAAATTATATCCATATCCAGTAAGTTACTGGGCACTACTCAGCCATGTATGGAAGACATCTACAGAGACAGGACAGGAAAAAAGGCAAGGAACATTATAGGTGACCAAAGGCACCCCCTTGCCCACTCTTTTAACCTCCTGCCTTCTGGGCGACGATAACGCCCCCCTATGTTTACTAAAACAGAGCAAAATTCTCCATTGTGCCGCAGGCCATTAAATGCCTAAATACCAAATAGCCATAGTTAGTCACCTATAGCCTGCTCAGCAAGTCTAATCAGGTTAAAGCTGAGACTTAGGAAGTGTGATTATGATGATGTTACTTATTTTTACTGTTAATTAAGTGAGAAAGTTGTCTACATGCTGTTTTATTTATTTATTTATTTATTTATTTTATCTATACTGTTCTTGATGAAATGCCAAATGTGTGATTTGCTGCAATTCAATTTCCCTATGGGACAAATAAACTACTACTACTTCTTATTAATTTAAGTCTGAGCTGACGATGACCCCCATGAACACTACAGAGGGAGTATGTTTATGAGAGTTGTATAATTAGGGTGTTTACAATTAACTGATTGTTAGGAATGTACTCAAACACGAATTTTCTGTTCAATTCTACACAACGTGTGATCTCAGACTCAGTGTATTTCCTGCTCCCAGAGTGCTGTTTGGGTTCAAACATGTTTCAAAAAACTGAAATTGTGTTGTCTTAGAAGAAAGGGTACTGCTGTATCTGCCAACACCGTTGAAATTATATGTAACACTGTAAAATGTAACAGTTGTTTTGAGAAAAGTTGGCACATACGGAATATAAATGGTGACAGTGTGTATCATGTAGATATATCTATCTATTAATTTTGCAAAGTAACAGTATTTTTGAAGAATTTCTTATCTTTGATTTTGATAACTTCCATATTTTTATAATGTTTCTTATATCAGAGTGCCTACAGGAGACAGCCAAGGATCACTTGACAGAGTGTCAAAATCCATGACAAACGGAAGAAGAAAGCCTGATTTAACAGAGAGGGACAAAGAAGCAAGACTCAGAAAAGGATTACGTGCAGACAGATTTGACATCCATGTTACAGTTTTGTAGATGGTTGTGATGTATTAATCACAATCTCACGCTGTGATGTATACTCACAATTTCGCACATGCCTATTTCAAACGAGACCTCGTTTTGGTGGTCATAGACAAATTAAGTTGGTTTTACGGCTGTGGTGTTGTTCTATCTGGAAATACAAAATAGCCAAGTATTTCTAAACAGCAGGGTTGGACAGGAAAACACTGTGTAGACTTTGTAACAGCGCAGCAGCGGCAGTAACACTCAGCTGTCTGTTTACAAAGCTCAGTGACGTACAATTGTGGCTGTAGTTGCATGAAGTAAATGGGGTGTGTCAGTTGTAGTGGGGCGGGGTACTGTGGTGGTCTAATGAGTGTGTTTAATGTAGGTCAGCTCTGTGAGGGGAGACGTTGTGATGGCATGAACGACATACTGACCCAGTTTCAGAGCCCTCCATTCAGGGACGTGCTGTAGAGTGACGAAGCAGGGTAGTACATTTGTCACGATAGTTACACAACAAGCTAACTCACTCAACCCATTCAATGTGTTCAAAACTCAGAGCGAACCACATGACAGCCTGTAAGCAGCCAAACCCATCTGAATTCACCTTTAAAATACAGATGCTTCATCCAATGAGATCACCTTATCACAGATATGCAAGATATGCATTGATAATGCACATTTACTGACAACGAAAATATAGGTTACTAAACCAGAGCGCACATATCTATGACCTGAATTGACTGCAAAGTTGCGTGATGCAGAAACACATCTTATAAAATATAATTATGCTTTATGATTTTACTGTACAAAAACAAAAGTGAAGCTACATGCAAGAAAAGTAGGAGATTAGCCTTTTGGCAGACAGCTACAATGTCAATCAAATTCGCCATGCCCCAACAACTCTATATATAATGGTAGAGGTTTAGACGACACAGTGTTTTGTCTGTTATGATGGTCACTCCGCCTGATTAGGCAATCACAGAGACTTGAATTTGTACCTTGACTCAATCAACAGACATGACAAACTACACAGTGTGACAGACCAATCATTACGTCTCGAATCGTGACCCTGGAAGTGAATGAACTGAGCTAGATGACACCTCCAAATGATGTCATCAGGTAGCTGAAGTGCATTTGCTCTTTGTATGTCAACATTTTAGTAGTCTGCTGTGTCATAAAGACAAAAATGTTTTAGCCAGAGCTCTACATTTTTTCCCCTGCAGTGTAAAGGGATAAAGAAACTGCTTTGAGAGTCCTCAAAGCCTGTGTCCCCAGCTCTGTCGAGTGCTTAATCACGTCTTTGATGAGCCTCGGTCTTCAAAGGGTCCCTGTGTTGTGGAAGAGGTTCTGCCAAGTCCCAGTGCTGAAGACGCTGTGTCCCAACAGCTTCATGGACTACAGACCAGTGGCGTTGATGCCTCACATCATGAAGACCCTGGGGAGACTCATCCTGGAACAACTGAAGCTGGTGGTCAGACACCTCTTGGATCTGCTTCAGTTTGCCTACTTGACTATTACACAGAGTCCTGCCACCTTCAGAGCATCAGGAAGGGTGATATGAGGCTGAATCCAGGACTGTGGTGGGTAACTTTGTCACATGGTGTTAGCAGAACCATCTCCAGCTCAACTGACAAAGACTAAGGAACTGAGAGTGGTTATGTAAGCTTCTTCACTTCATATAATTACATTCATACAGTGCAATTCTCTGTACAATATCCCATTCTATAAACTGGTTTTGTACACCGCCCATTAATTAAGTATTCTGATTCTGATTGGCAGCCTCTCGTGGACACTGGAGGAACTGTAGTCTTTTGTACCTCTGCATTGGCCTCATTTTTAACACAGCAGGCAGGTTGCAGCATGCTTTTAAAGCATAATTACTTTAGACAGCTTCGTTTAAAGCCTGAGCGTGTTTTAAGGAGGGAGCAAAGGACACTGTTTGTAAAAAGTAGGTGTTATCAGAGAACTGTGGCACAAGTATGATTGAACACATACTGTCAAGACTGGTTGGCCATACAGAATTAGGAGATTTGAAATAGACAATATTTCACTTTTCCACCTTATATCGTTCACTTTGTGTTAGAACCTTTTAAACCAGGTTGTTGCAGTTTCATTATACTAGAATCCAAACCTGACACACCCTTGTAGGCATCTAGCATCTGATCATATATCAAATCAGTGTTGTTTGAGTTTCAGGTCTTATTTCAGTATCAGATACTGTAATTTAAAACTTGGTATTGGCATCAAAATCAAATTTTGGTTGAACAGTGAGAGAGGATTTCCATTAAATGCATAACTATGAGCCAATCAGGTAATGAAGCTGCTATCATAGCATCATAGTTGTAGTGGATCATTGCTGAAAAAAAGCAAAGTTTCAGTACCAGCAGATATTAAATTTTAAATATCTGCAAAAAGTAGACTGGTCTGAGAGTGTTTTAAAATGTCCTGATACGACTTTTAACTTTTGATACGATACTGATATTATAGCCTTCAATGTTGACTGATACCGATGTTGATCCGATATTGGCAAAAAATTGTGCATGACAAGTTTTGCACTCAGCTGCAACGTCTTTTTTGGACTTAAACAAAAACACTGCCACACAGCCGACATCACTCCTTCTCCTTGCTACTTTGTTAGTACCTTATTAAATGCTGTTGTTGTAATTACATGGACTTTGCATGCTAGTTCTGGGTGCTGCTAGATAGAAGTGTGGGTGCGGAGTCTGGAATGGACTGCTTGTATCGGAATATCGGAGATTTTGGATACAGGCCGATATAATGCGATACTTGTTTTTACTGGTATCAGACCGACATCCGATATCAATATCGGATAGGGACATCCCTAGTAATAAAGCTCTCCAAAACAGACGAAAATGTATATTGATGTCTTTTTAAGATGAAGCGAACAAGATCATTTTTAAGAAGAAATAAAAACAACAGCAAAAAAAAGAGAAAAAATGACTGTCAAACGTTTTTGTCAGAAAACACAGCTTAAGAATAAAAATGTCACAACTAGCACTATTTGGTCCACAAGGAGCAGCCATGGTTCAAGCAAAACTTAAATTCCTCACAGGAACTCTAAACATACAGCAGACACATTACAGAGTGTTTACCCTGAAAGATGAAAAAAAAAACCATGTTTTGTTCTGTGTCTAGTGGAATGTTGGATGCAACTTTCCTTTCAGACAACAAAAAAATGTAGATAAAAAAAGAGTATTTTTCACTCTAATTTTATGGTAGGTGGTATAACTTTGTCCATAGGGGGCGCCAAAATCCACACAAACACCAGTAAAATATCCAAATAAGGTTCCAACCACAAGATAACTGCAAAGGGGTGACTCTAAAGTGACAATCAATGTTCTATACAACCTTTTTTAAACTATTAGTATCCAAAAAACTGATGCCAGACTTTCTAGTGTTGAAAGTTTTGGTATCTCTCTTACAACTAGGGTTCATTATTTTAGTGTTTAGGTCTACAAGACAACATGTTAAACCCTCTACTTCCCCCTTTCCTTACCTCCACCTGTTGATGCCCACATTAGAGGACCCAGCGAACCAGGGATCCAGGATGTAGATGCAGCGCAGGGTATCCGTTCCCCGGATAGAGTCCCTCAGAGACGGGTTGTCGTGCAGCCGCAGTCCCTTCCTGAACCAATGGATAGTGTTGACTACCATTTCACCTGCTTTCTGTGTTAATCCCGGGTGAGGTTAGAAAGAGAAGGGAGTATATTCCCAGCAAAAAACAGTCCGTAGTCCTTTCAGTTCTGTGCAGCGGGCTTGTAGGGCAAGGTTTCTGTTTCTTCGCTCTCTAACCTTGCTCCATGAATTTATCCATAGAGTTGAGTGTCCTCGGCAGCAGGGGCAGCATGTGTAAAAGCAGGTGACCTAAAAAACTGCAGAAAAAAAGCACAAATCTCTTCCCAATCGGCAATAAAGAGTAGAATGATCTCCTCGTAGAGAAAAACAGATCCAAAAGCAGAGTTGTTGATTTTTTTTCCCGTTTGTTGATGTTGAGATACCGCTCAAGACAGCTCGTAAAGCCCGCGGAACACTGAATTTACCTCCACAAAGTAGAAACGCGCACAAATATCCGTCTGTTTCCCCTGACTTAAGAAATTCCTCGTCAAGTTATCTCACTAACTCGTCAAACAATTCGCTAAAACTGTAAAACAACACCTGGCACACTGTAGTCAGCCATGCAACCCGTCATGTGTGTACCAACATCTCCACCCACAGTAACAGGCAGGAACAAAATTGCGGCCTCTGATTGGTCAAAGTCATCAGTTATACAACCGTTCCCCTGTCACGTTTTCACAGTGTGCTTTCTTCTTTCTGGTTGAACACATTATTTCACCCTTTAATGTCATCCAAATGTCCACTTTAGGTCGTATATGTTTTATAATTTCGGTTTTGGTTCATATTTAGGGAGCAGAAGTGAAAACAAGCGGCCAAAGGGTCTGACAAAACCAGCTAATCGGAGGCTCAGAATGAGGTTATGTGGACACCCTGAAGTACCCGGATGAGCACATGGAATGCGGCGAGGTCTGGCTCCAAATAGATGCGCTCGATTTATAATACAGGCCGCCCCGCTAGCACTAAAACTGTGTGTTTAGTCAGATTCAGCTGTATAGTTGTCTATGGTCACAGACAACCCCGCCCACCCCAAACACACATAATCGGTTACCAATGTTACCCACGTTAAATTACATAAACGAGTAAATAAATGATCTTTAGCAGTTAATACGCGTCCATATTCAGTATTTGCTTTGTCGTGGTAAAGTGTGAGACTATAGCCCGCAGCAAAGTACAGAAATTATAACGAAGGCGTCATAGCGTGTTTCTGATACTATTTTTAGACACAGTTTGTCAACAAACTAGCAACATCTTTTTATAATTGAAAATGTACTTTCTTAATGCTAATAAACTGTACTAGTTAATAAACCTTTAACTAGTCTCTGATTTATTGTAATGATCTAATATTACAATCAAAATTATTTATTATAATGATGACTTAAAATTTAGAAATTATACCTTGCAAAGACTTTTAGATTTACCATACTGCTCCCACTGTTTCTCAAGTTTTTATTTATTGATTTATCATATTAAATTTACTGATGAGATTAAGACTCCCTCCTTTTTAGCACAATTAATATTTTACAGATTTGGTGAAAAACAATATATTTAAGAGGAACAAAGCCTAGAAAAAAGCCTGTTCATATTAGTTTTGTACAAAGATATATGCATTTACTGCTTCATAGTAATTTAATGAAATTATGAGCAGTTCCTTTGCACTCTAGAGTGAAGTACATAGGATCCATGGTTTCCAAAAGAAAATCAGACATTGCATAATTGCTTAACAGCAAAGAAAATATGCTGTGATATTAGAAGGAGGACATCAAGTATCCGCCTGCAGCAAGATGTCAAAAAACATCATTAACAGAGACTCCAGTCTGTGGAGCTCCTCAGTACGTCTGCTACATCTGCCATCAGAGTGGATACTTATATCCATCAGTACAGACTTCTTTCAATACCCTGTTCAGAATATTGCACTTCTCAATATCTATTTCTGTCAGAGAGGCTCTTTATCGAATAGAGTGATGGAGACACTAACTGACTCAAGACACTGTGCTCAGAGATTCTGAAACCAAAGTGTATCAGTAAAAAGCGGAATAAAAGGCAGTTAAGTCTGTATTTTAGATGTTTGTTTGTTTTTTTTTTGTTTTTGTTTTTTTTTCCCTATAGTGTCATTGTGACATTAAACTGGCAGAGTTGTGATAACAGCAAAGCACATCATTATGACTGAAATGAGCTGTGTCACGTTAATATTGCAGTGTCATTGTTGTAGGTTATTGTGACCTGAGCTCACAGCTGCTGCACGGGATAAATGGGAAATAATTCAGATGGAAATCTCATGCAGCTTCACAGATGGACACTAGATGGCAGTATTAAGCCGGAGTTTGTTTTAAACCACCCTGCTCACTGTTTTTATTTACCGCAATACCATTAACTGGTTTTAAACTTAGTGTCTACTTACTTCCCATTTTGAGTCTTTTAAGTAATTTTTCGAGTTGTCAAACTTGTGTACAGGTTTTTGGTTGTGCTGGTAATTGCTAGAGAAGCTGGCTATACTCAAGCATATCTTTCTAGCTTAAGCTCTGGCACTTGGTATGGCTGACACGTTCACTGTACATGTCAACCTCCTCCAGGGTTTTTTTCCTCTTGCCAATCATATGATCTTGATGGATGGGAAGTCAGAAAAAAAGGGAAACAAAGAAAAAAAAAGATCTGTACCAATATGAGAACAAATGCTTGTCTCTGTAGTGGTTCCTTCAAGAGTGTGACTGCCACACCTTAATGTTGGGTAGTTATAAAATGTAATCAAAATGAACTATTGGATCAGCTAACTAAAGATAAAACAACTTCATTGTCCATGTGCTGATTTGGCCCTAAAAACTCTTAACGTGTCCACAGTCCATGATCAAGACCTCTACACCCAAGGCCATCTCTTGTTAAGGAGTGAATCTTTAACCCATGTGGACCAGTCAAAGTATCTTGTGTTGTTCACAAGTGATGGTACAATGAATTACAAGCTAAAAAAACAAACAATGGGGTACCTTTTTTTTCATAATTCGGAGGACATTTAGATATTTTGCAGGACAAACAAAATGCCTGTGATACTGGGCAAAAAGTCACGAGAACAGTTACAACAAAACTCTTTGTGTATTACCCCATTTTAATGTGTCTGGATGTGCTGTGTGAGACTTTATTTAACTCTCAGTGCAGTAAAACACAAAAGAATCATGATCTAACGTCAGACTTAAGAGTCAGGTTTGATTACCTCCAGTCGAAGCTAAAAACCACAGAAAGCAGAGCTAACATCAATTCATCGACTGAACCAAAAGTGAAGAGAAATGGAGTCCCATAATTGAGCAGCTCCAAATCCTTGTTTAATGCACCTGGATCCTGATGATATATACTTTGAAATCCGATCTTAACACACATTTTTTTAATGATTAAATTTTTCAAATGTGATCTTCAGGTTTTATATCAATCTATTTACAAGGACAGGACAGTTGACAGAGCAAGAAGAATATTTTATATGATCCCTCTAGAAAGTTTCTTTTAAAAAAGTGACAGTGCATGTTCCTTTTGGGTTATTAAAGTGAAGTTTGAGTGCAAAGCAGCAGGGTTCACTGTTGCTCTAAAGATAGACTCGGCCTTTCTGTATCTGTGTTCAGTGCAGAGGACTCAGTCTGTCAGCAGCTCAGATGTTAACCTGCATCAGTCACACAGACCAGTCTGGACTTCATGCAGGCATCTTTTTACAGGCACATTAGATTTCTTCAGTACTTTTACTCTGAAATTTAAAGTTGTAAAGGTGTTTTTAGTGACCTGAAAGTCTTCAACTCAGCGCTGTTATGAGAATAAAGAATATCTCTGTCTTTTAAATGATGCTCATAGTTATATTTTTTCTTGGCTGCTCTTTTTAGGCAAACTCCATCGAGCCGAGGCTTAAGGAGGAAAAACAGCATGTCTAGGTAAGACCCTGTAAGTGATCTGTTAAATGACCTTGAGTAATTCAGACCCTTTCAATGAGTTCTCCTGCAGGCGGGACAGAAGGATACATTATGCATGTCATCTATTATTAATGCTCCTGAATCATGTTACCATCAGACATCGGCCCTCTGAACGCCGGATCCTCTGGGAAACTAAGCCCCCTAAACATGGTTACATAAACACTGACTCCTCTGCACTGTAGGATTACTTTATCATAATTTATTTTTAATGTAACAGCTGACAGGATGTCTGTGCTTGTGCTGTTTCAAAGTTTTGTGAAAGAAGGTTTCACCACATACGTGCTATAGATGTTCAAACAAGTACTATGATCACAGTTTCTCTTTCTTTCGAAACCAACTCTGCCACAACTCTTTTTGACTCTGAATATTTTGCAGAACATTCCAAATCCCAAAAAGCTGCAGGGCACAATAATGAACAGATTTTGACTGTTTGCAAATGATCTAGATCCTCTTTCTAACAGAAACTGTTGCAAAAAACAAACAAACAAACATATCTAATGCTGAGGCTGAAAAATGTTACTTTAAAATATCAAATATTGGCTTTTATTAGCAACATGTTTCTAAATGCAGTTAAAGGTAAAAAGTTGTGTAATGCAAAACAAAACAAAAAAACAGCTTGAGTAACAGCTGAGCAGCTGAAGGACTATTAAAGAGGCTAAGTCTCTTAAAACAGAAGATGGGAAGAGATTCACCACTCTGTGAGAGATTGTGTGAGCTAATAGTTCAACGGTTTCCGAATAATGTTCCTGAGAGTCAAATGTAAAAGAATGAGTGGATTTCATCACCTAAAGTACATAATATCATTAAAATATTCAGAGGACCTGGAGAAATCTCTGTACAAAGAGAGACAAGGACCAAAACCAAGACTGGATGGTCCTGATCTTCAGGCTCTCAGGCAGCCCTGCATTTAAAACAGACAGGACTCTGGAGTGGAAATCACTGCATTCATTTAATTGTCACTACATTCAGAAAACAGGTTAAAATTCAGCCATGCTAAGAGGAAATCATAAACATGATCCATAAATGCTTGCAATAGTCTGGCAAATCAGAGGCTGACATTCATGTTGGAAATAAATGGCAGTGCAATAACACCAAGGCCTTCCTCACCTGAGATCATAAACATCAAATATATTGAGATCAACAATCCCAAGTCAGACTGCTCTAACTGAATATCCACAGAAACAAGTTAGAGAAGCAAACTCCTCCTCCTCCTAAAGAGTGAAGGGACCATCTAAATTTTTATCAACTCCCAGTCCAAATCCAGCATCCATGATGGTATGGGAATCTTGAGGGTCTATGTCAGGTTTAGGAGCAACATCTGCTGCCATCTGCACAATGATTATTTTCAGGGAAGACCTTCATGTTTCAGCAAGACAGTGACAAACCACATTCTGACAACAGGGATTACATCATTTCACTTTCCAAACTCCAGAAACTGGTCTCCTGGGTTCATTAATGTGGTGGTTAAAGAAGAGCTGATGGTGAACATGTCCCTGTACCAACTGCTATAAAACATATTGCTGGCTTTGAATTTAAAATGAGTACAAATTTGTCATTATTTGTCAAATGCATCACTTTTGATGTTTGAAATGTTGTCTTTGCACTCATTAAATATAGACTTAAAATGAACTTGAAATAATTTAATCATCAAATGATAAATACATCTGTA